TCTCTCTCTCTCTCTCTCTCTCTCTCTCTCTCCCTGATTTCGGACACTATCCACTGCATCTTTAAAATAAAAGACTCAGTTGCTTCGGCCGACACTTCTGCATCGTTCTGTTTACATCATGTCCCGCCTCCATCACGTCTGACAGGGATAGTCTCTCACTGTGAGGTGCATGTGTGAACAATCAGGACGAATCAGGAGTGCATGTTTGAAAATGACGTGTTGGAGCCAAAACACGATTTTATTGATCATTGCAAGAAACCCAACACAACACTGTGAATCTGCATTAGAGTGTAATACCGAGGCAGACATTATAGACATTATATATATTTTGACCATGTCGGCAGGCGTGTCGAGGAAAGTTGACTTGAAAGTCACCGTTTATGTTTCATTTTGAATCAATTAGAATTTTTTACATCTTTGGATCCATTGATGGGATCTTCTGTACTTCCGATTGTCTGTGGAATTTCCCATGGCCGTAAAATTTTATATTTTTATTGTTGCTCTTTCCTTTTTAGAGAAATGTTCAGACAAAAAAAGGAAAGTCCAGACAGAGGGATGTCGGGGGGTTATCCAGACTGATCGAAAAGGCAACTCATTTCTGGTACATACATTTTATTATAATTCCTGTTATTAAAAACAGCACATTGTTTTTGTGACCTGCATACATGTGCATATGTTATGATTCTCCACTACTGTAATCTGACACCTGTCTCTTCTTCATGTCTTTCACAAACTTATCACTTATGCAAATGCAGCAGGTGCAGCAGGTGCAGCAGATCCCAACCCGACTGTTGAACAGGAATGTGCAGACTTGCAGAAACAAGGAGACTGAAGGTGGAAAAGTGTGAGAACTCGGAAGTTACCTGTTCTCACACACCTCGGAGAAACATGCAGATCAGCATGCAGCGCTACAAAGAGAAAACAAAAGAGCGCTGAACACACCTTTGTTTGTTGTTGTCCGTCTTATCTCTAAGGTGCTGTAAATAATGATGCATAAGAACAGAGTGTAGCCACACTGAAAAGAATGAGGCATTCACACAGATGGAAGAGAAGAATGGTGTTTTGTTATCTAAGAATGAAGGTCTGTCACTTTGAAAATAATAAAGTTTAAAATGTCTCTGGTGGAGAGAATCAAAAGATGTCTGACCGTCCCCCTCAGAATGTTTTCATACTGCTCCATTTTTTTATAGAAATGATCTGTTTATTCCCCCAACAATGAGCTCCATATTGCTCAGAGCATGTCTTGTTTTGCTCATTCGGCTCGTTGGTTCGTTTACAGCTTGTGTGCCAAACACTGGAGGGCATTGTACAGTCAAAACACAGGGTTGCCTGTTTGAAGGCAATGATTTCATAAGAACCGCAGAGCTGCTGTTTACACTGTCGGTGTCTGTCTGCTGCCATCTAGTGGTCAAAGAGGAGGGCTGTGGTGAGACGACTACAGTCTGGGTCAAAGAGCAGGTGGATGTTAAACAGACAGTTTCTTTTTTTTTAAGGGTTGTTTTGGGGCTTTTTATGTCTTTATTTTAGAGACAGGACAGAGTGTAGAGTCAGAAATCAAGATGAGAGAGAGAGCGAGAGTGGAAAGTGACATGCAGGAAAGGAGCCACAGGACATCTAGACGCAGGAATTGCACACTAAATTAGGTATTGTAAAGTCTGAAGTATGGTGGCGCTGAAGGAAAAATAATAAGAATAATAAATGTTTCTGTGTTTTAATAAAATATTTGTACGCTTTGTGAAATGTTAATTGCATCCTTTTAAATCATTTTAAATTTTGTGTAGGGCTGTGAAGCGATCTCTTAATTTCAAAGTTAATCGCGGTTAAAATTAATTTCAATTCCATTATTTTGTATTTACAAATGAACATAGTGGGGCGTTGGTGGCCTAGTGGTTGGAGCACGGGGAGGTCATAGTCCTCGACTCGGGTGGCCCGGGTTCAGGGTCCAACCTGTGGTTCCTTTCGAACATGTTGTTTCCCACTCTCTCCATCCCCAATTTCCAACTCTATCTGTTCCCCTGTCCAAAAAAGCCCCAAAAAATTAAAACTCTAAAAAAATAATAATAATAATGATGATAATTATTAGGCTTTTATTTTCAATGTTTGTATTGTCTTACGCTAAGAGTACTTTACTGCCGTTTGAATCCAACCCTGCTTTTATTTTGAAAAAAATGATCTTTTGGTAGAAGCGGGCAAGAGAACTGGTTCAGATAGAAGTGATTGTACCCGACCTAAAAAGCCTCTGCATGTTTCTAATAAGCTCCACGAGCAGAAACGTGCTCAAACTAGGATCAATATTGGAGATGCTTTTGAAAAATGGAGAGAAGTTAGAACACAGAAAGGTTTACAGACCGATGCAGAGCTGGCTAAACACTGAAGCTTCAGTGTCCACCACATGGCAACCTGTGTGAGCATCGACTCTAGAGAGGAGGGGGAGATAGCGCTCTACAATGTTTAGAATTTAGACTGCAGTACCCATTTTAAACACTAGGTGTGAGAGTGACAGATTGCTCCTTTAAGTTATTTTTCTGAGTTATTTAAATTATTTTCAGTTTGACAGCAGTTCGGTAAAAATGTCGACTATCAGACATAATAACAGCAGCTCTGCATTCACTGTGTAAATATTTTGGGACATCCCACGACCATTAACCTGATTTGGACACGAGGTGACCTAAATTCTTTGAATCAACAACAAGCTAAAAGTTGGCCAAGTCACAAACTGGTGCGACCGGCTCGAGGACTTTGGATGAGTTTTTGTTCTAGTTCTCATACAGTAACTCCACAAACCAGAGCCGTCTGTACAGAAAACTACAGGGGCCGTATTCATGAAGCTTCATAAATACTAAGAGTCGCTCCCAGAAAGTTCTTAGAAATAAGAACATTTTCTCAGAATTTACTCTTAAATTTAAAAATAGATCCTGTTAAAGATGAAAGTTATTTACAAAGCTTCTTAGCCATTAGGAGAGCTCCCAAAGCGTGGTACACATGACAAGACAATCAGGCAGATTTTCAGAGGGGATTCTAGTCCGTCGGGGCCCAAGGCAAAAATCAGTTGGGGGGGGGCCTCCAACCAGCTTTCAGCAAGGCAATGAAAGAGAATGCTGTAAAATGGGGCCCCCTTAGGGAGGTTTCCTGCAGTCATAGCAAAATTTGCAATTTATGAGTCGCTGCTTTAGTTTAATATTTGTCAGCCCTCTGAGGCCCCCTACTGGTCTGGGGCCCCTAGAAGTTGCCTGCCTTGCCTGTGGACAAGCAGCGCCTTTGCTGATTTTGACCAAAGTCACTAAAGGCTCGACTATCTGATGGATCCATAGATTGTCTTGGCAGATTCTCCCGTGGTGTGAGGCGTGTTAAGAGTGATTTTAACCTCCCCAATCTGCTTGGAAGACGACCGAGGACGCCCCGGTTTGTAAAACGTAAATATTCAACGTGTTCAACATTTAGGAGCTGAAATCCTGTTGTGTGGGGAGAACGCAGAAGACGGCAGAGCACGGACTCTGTGAATTGTCACGTCGGAACAATGGCCAATCAGGAAGCAAGCTGACAGAACCGGGAAGCACAACAAACATCACCATGGAGACGACAGCAAATGTGAAGCATAAAGTAAGATGGATGTCATAAATTCAGGAAGAAGAATGTTCTAAATCACTCCTAAGATAAAAAAAATCCTTGCTCTGATTTTTAAAGCTAAGTTTGGAGATCTCCGGATGTGTGTGAGTACGGGCGCAGGAGGTCTGCCCCGTCTGCAACACAACGACCACAGGAACATGAATAACGGAGTGAAAACGGTCGAGAGTAAAGCAGAGAAAATAAACAGAACTCTGAAAGAGGATAAATGTGTTGTAAGTTCTGAACAGAGTCTGCAAAGAGTAACACGTCTCCTTTCCAAAGTGACCACATGCACCTACTTCTAAGCTCTACATTATGTCTGCCCGGCCACTAGGGGGTACTATAACTACACAACAAGCTGACACACACATCCTGACACAACAAGCTGATGTGTGTGTCTGACACAACACATTAGCACCAGTTGCTAAAAGAAAAATGCAGCAGGTATGGAGCTGCATTGCATTTTTACCAGAAGACTGAGTAACTATTCTGTCTCTCTCTGAAGTTTTCTATTAACTCCTATGAAAACTGTTGATCAGCCGACTGTGTTTCTCTGCTCTGTGTGTGTGTGTGTGTGTGTTTGGTGCTGCAGGCTGTGGATGGTTACTCACTCAGTCTTCACTTTTTTAAGGAGACCTCTCAGAGGGTTTTATGATCTCAGTAATGTTTTTCTTCATGTGTTAAACGTTCAGAGACCGTTTGAATGTTTTCAAAGAGTGTAGAGATTTAGAAAGTCTCTCCAGTCCTCCTGAGGTTTGATCCACAGAATCTAAAAGCTGCTTCAATGATTGGTTCTGCTTCTTGGGAGGACAGAGTACACCTGTTGTACTCCTGCTGGACATGAGGGGTCTGGATGACTCAGTTAGGTACCACAGTATAAAAACCTAACATTTGGGAACAATGGATCCTGAAAGAAAGGTTCATCTGTTTTAACTTTCATGTCTTTAGTGTACACACAGTTTTAAAATCTGTCCTTTGACTCACAGGAAGCCAGTGTAGAGATTTATTTATTGAATTAGATCATCGACATTAATCAACAAAACGGATCAAATTGCTTCAGAGAAGAAACGTGCAGAAGGTTTGACAGTTGCATCTCTCGTTTCAGATGTACTGCTCGCTTTGAACCAGCAGATGTCGCCCTTCACTTCCTGTCTGACTGCTCTCTCTTTTAATTGAATGACTGATGAGTAAATGAGTTCATGCTCCACTTCTCTCTAACCCCCCTCCTCTCTATATGACTCCCTGCCCCCCCCACACCCCACCCTCCTCTCCCCCTCAGCCAAAATAATAAAATGCTGACTTCTCAAAGTGCCGTTCGTCAGTATGCCTGTCTCAGCATAGCAGCCCAGAGGCCCGACATACAGGAGAGAGAGAGAGAGAGAGAGGGAGAGAGAGAGAGAGAGCGAGAGAGAGAGAGAGAGAGAGAGAGAGAGGGGAGGGGGTGTAAGGAAAAAAGAGAACCAACTTTCTAACTGCAGGCTCTGCCTCACCGAGGGGCTTCAGCACTGCGCTTCTGTGAAGGTAGGTGTGAGGCTGCTCCCTTCTGTCTCCGTCTCTGTGTGTGTGTGTGTGTGTGTGTGTGTGTGTGTGTGTGTGTGTGTGTGTGTGTGTGTGTGTGATCCACACTGTAATCATCCTTCCTGTTTTGGGGTTCAACATTTTTTTTTTTTTTTTAAAGCCAGAGCTTTGCTGTGTGAGACTGTGGATTTGTGTTCAGGATGAAAGGTGGACATGTGTGGATCTGCTGCCCCCCCCCTCCCCAAAAAAAACAAACAAAAAAACAAACAAACAGCTGTTTCTTTGCAGAAGTTTGCTCACTGTATACTTGATTGTATGTCATTGTCATGCCTCCATGGCTAACTCTTCTGTCCCTTTGTGGGAAGCGGGTGCTTGATGAAACTCTGTCACTCAGATGAAGCTATCTGCGTGGCATGCGGAGGGGTTAAGCCGTCCAATAACTGTCCATCGCTGCGGTGAGTTCGTCACAGGGGGATTTGGAGATGTTGTCTCTGGGGGGCTGCAGAGCTTGGAAATTGGGAAAGGAAGGTTTAGCGTGCTCTCTGCCTGCAGACCCCCCCCCCGTCTAGTTAAGATCCATCAGTGTCTGACAGTCGTTCTGTCACTGGATTGAAATGTGTTTTGGTGACTGCTGATTCAGATTTCTGTGTGAAAAGTTGTTCCTGTGACTAAAGATACTTTTCTTATAATCATGCACGACCTGAAAACAATCTGCATGTCTTTAAAAACAACACCACACTGTAAACTGTCACATCGCACCACGTTTATGAGAAATATCTAATTGCACTTATTAGACACATTCACCTCACAGGTGTGCAGAAACATCGTACTTAAAGATATTTAAAATGAGGCGTGCATTGTTTGAAACACCTTAAAGAAGCTGCTGGCTCAGGAGACAAACTCTTATCAGACTGTAGACTTCATGTTACAGAGCAAAGAAACAGAGCCCTTTTGGGTCCTGACCCACTAGTTGAGAACCTCTGGTTTATAATGGGATGAGATCTAAAGCAGACAAATGCACTTAGTAAGATTTGACTTTTCTGCCGTGCACTTGATGCTTCTTTATGAATGTCTGCATTCGTTCTCTGCAGCAGATCAACATTTGGCTGCAGACTTCTTGCAGCTAAATGTTAAATTTAGCTTCAATATATAGAAACTTTAGAATCATTGTGTGCAATGTGCAACATGTCCAACCTTTTAATGTGCTCTCTGTGAAACTGCAGTGTGTAGTCCTGCTCTTTGCTTTGTTGTTTCTTTTGCTGCTGTTTACTCTGAAATGGCCCTGGTAAAGCTTTATCTTCTTATCTTCAAATGTTTCTTTCGAGTGACCCCCCCCCCCCCCCATGCTGCTAAGTTGTTCTCTGGGCCTCAAAATGGTGCTCCGAGTCAGTCTGCAGGAGCAACCCGACCCCGGATGGATTCACACGGCTGGAAGAAGCTGACTTGTGAAGCTAAAATTAATCTGAGGGCAGATCTGGGAATGTTACACTCGGGCGGTGAGACTGCGGGGAAGGCGACCTGCAGAGGGTGACAAATCTTCTGAGCTGTCGGTGGCAACTTGTAGCTTTGAAAAAAAAAAAAAAAAAACTTTCCTCTGCTGATACTGAAGAGCTCTGCCCTACCAGAGGACAGAGTGAGAGCAATAAAGCAGAGAGAAGTCCCTTGCTGGTTTATTTTCTGCTCTGATAAAAAACAAGGGTAGAGTGTAAATCATCCCCGAGCATTTATGAGTGTGTAACCTTTGTCACTGTGAAATCCAAACCCATGTAATGATGTTTGACTCCTGAAACACCCAGTAACTCATCACTACCACTTACATCTGAAATAGAACTCCTCATTGGATTAAGACGACAAGAACTTGTAAGCTCGCATGCAATGAATCACGCTTTTATTGGATGAGACGACTCAGATGGAGCCGACAAAAATCAAGAAGCTCCACATGTCTGCATCAGACTTCAGAGCGAGCCCTGAACTCTCTGAATCAACGTTAAAAAGCTGGACGTCTGGTGCACATGCTTGTAGAGACTCAACAGATGGTTGGAGACTGAAGGACAGAACGGGTGGCGTTCACAGGGCCAGTTGGAGCAGCTGCTTTCAACATTTGCTCCGTGACATTTCCGATGAGTTAGCTGTTTAGATGTTTGAGCCCGTTCACAGCTTGCAGCTAAGATGCACCCACATGACGTTGTTGTTTGCTGCATTTTTGAGGAAGAAATTCAAGCTTGTTCTTCCTGATTTGATGTGATGTCACGCTGGCTTTGAGAAGCCGGAAGGTCATAGGTCACCTTTGAACAAACAGCTGTGATCAGTGAGGAGCTGTTTTTCAAGGTTTTGTGTCCCTAAATGTTTTATCACTTACAGAATTTAGTTATTTCATTCTGATCCCGAACATTTAAGCTGTTTTTAGTTCTTCAATCGTTAAAAAATGTTGATTTCTGATATTTACAGGATTATCTCAGAGTCTCGCACATCACATTGACTAAAAAGATCAGTATCATCGTAATGCATCATATCAATCAATCAATCAATTTTTATTTATAAAGCTCCAATCCATAACAAATGTTTTCTAAAAGGCTTTACTAAAGAGCGGGTAAAGACCTTTCTCATTTTTTAAATATGTGATGGGGGAGATGGGATAATTTGGAGGAAGGATTTCTCCTTTGTATTCCTCATGTTCCTGTTGTCCACACTTCCTCTCCGCTGAGGTGGAGGTCGGAGCAGGCCGTGCATGAATGAGGACGGCGGTGGTTGTGGGGACGACACAGTCTGATTGTGGAGGCTGGGAATCCGGGGAGCTCCGTCTACTCTCGGGTAGAGTAGACGGGGCTTCATATCTCTTTTTTGGTATCAACATAAACATATGACCCACTTCCAAACTGTGACATCTTTACTCCCTTCAAATAAAACTTATGTGACTGAACCTGCAGTCTGGTTTGCAGCTGGCTCTGACTATCAGTGAATCTTCCTCGTTTCAAATCGTCCCGTAGATTAAACTGCAGCCATCATGACAAAGTGGCCATCATGGCATTTTGGATATGCCACTTGGCCATTACATGAAACCTTAAACCTTTTTGGTCTTGGACGTATTATAGAAGAGGATACAGCTTTGGAGGCGGAGCCCCGATCATTCCTTTGAAACCTGCTCAGTGGCGCATGAAGCAAAAAAAAAAGTCTGACTTTTGCGTCCCGTCAAAGTCCTCTGATCTTCAGCATTGGGCCGATAGAGCATCATTTATGCTTTCCCCTTTATTCCACAGGAGTAGCCTTTATTGAAAACTCATTTTGAATCATCTTATTCAGCGAAGGTCTGTCATCCTACTTGTGGGGACTGGGTGGGCGGCGTCCTAGCGTCCTCTATTGACCAGCTGCCACTGGTTGCAGCCCTAGAAGTACGAGATGGTCTTTGTTTTCATAAATGCTGAAGAAAACTCTCCTTCCCTGTCCCCTCTGACAAACTCAGCAACTGAATTTTTCCTGAGTTTTCTAAAAACTCTGGATCTGTTTGGTGTTCTGTCCTCGTGCCTCGTTGTTCTTCACAGTTCTAACAACGTAATTCTCAGGAGAACGCTAAAATGACGTAATCATGATGACGGATTCCACTCTGACTTGTGAAGAAGAGGTCACACACGTCTCTAAATCAGCTCATGAACAACTTGTTCCAGGACCCCGACCGTCTGGAGAATATTAGATCAAAACTCTGACCCGGCCCTCTTTCAGACGTGGTTTTGAATATTTCAAATGCTGTAGCTGTCGTTAATCAGGCAGACGCACACTCCCAGCTCGGCTCATGACACGTCTCTCACAGAAACACAAACTGCAGGTGCAGGAGAGGGTTGAAATTTAAAGTGGAAAAAGAAACTTGTGCAGCCAGCTGGCGGTGGCAGGTGACAGCCACCCCTCCCCCTTTGTTTTGCTGCGTTAGAGAGGAGGGTCTGCTGGGACTGCAGGGGACAGATGTACATTCACAAACGTCCAGCCTGCTTCCAGGCTTCCTGGTATGTCAAACGTGTCGATTTAAATGTCACAACAAATGAAAACATGATGTTGGCCGAGTTTTATTTTCTCTTGTCAGCCAGGATCCGATCATTTCCACATATAGTCTAATTATATTTTACTGCTGGCAAGGTTTAGGATTAGGGGAACAAATGTTCTGATCAAATTATAAAATATTGACATTACCTGGATAGTTAGTCCTTGATCTTAAAAACTCCAGAAAAGGTTTTAAAACCTCCAAACATGGTCAGCGTGGTCTCTGTACTTTATATTTCTTTCTCTAAGCAGCAGGCAGTTGGCACACATTCGTCTGAGCCCTCGCTCTTCGCTCAAGTGTCAGAAAACAGCCGAGAATTAAACTCAACAATAAGCGAGGCTCAAAGGCTTCATGCAGGCAAATCACATGAGCCTCGTTTGGATGGAGCCCGGGGGCCGCGTTCACTTCTTGATGCAAGCGCTGCTCCCTGAATCGGCCCCTACTACATCTACATCTGTGAGACCTCGTATCTGCTGGCTCCTCTGTACTCGCTCCCCCTCTTATAACCTTCGGATAACCTTCATCAGGAGCTCAACTCATCCTGCAACACGAATTCAGACTCTTGAACTAGCTCATCAACAGGAGCATGTTTGAGTGATTAGATGTTAGAGTTTGATTAGGCCACATGAGGAGAGGAATAAGAGGTACTGGGTCACGGCTTAATTCTGATGCTTTCCTAACCGTGTAAAACCGCCTCCTGTAACGCCTGTCAGGCAGCTTGTCGTCGACGCCGTGTGGCTCTAACGCGTAAAGCCAATGACACAAACACCGGATCACACGGCTGAGAGGAGGAAGATGGAGGAGGTTTAAAGGATGACAGGAAGGAGAGGACCAGGTGGAGGATAAATCCACCCAGGCTCAGTTTTTATCTCTGACGAGAGGTTTCACTTTACGACAGTCAGGCCAAAAAAAATCTAAGTCATAACCACGGGATAACTCACATTTTGTGGAAGGCCGCGTTCACACCTGTAGCTCGTTTGCTTTGTTCTGGTTCAGGTGATAAAATGATGCCGTGTTGTTTTTTCCTCTTCGGGTCATTTTGTTTTGTGTTCCCAATGAAACATTGTAAAGCGAGCCAACGCACGCAGGACTGTCCTTACACCGTCACTATGGTGACCAGGTGCCAACAGGCCACATGTGGGTCAATTTCAGAGCCTGTAAAAATGGGCGGAGCCACAGTCTGCTGACCTGTATGAGTGCGAGTGATGCACATTGTGGTCAACGTTGGTTATTCAGCTCTTGTTCTATCATGTTGTCTGTCTTTGATGCAGGGCAGGTTTAATTAGCCTTAAAGTGTGTATCCATTCATGTGGCTACAGACAGTCACAAGACGTGTGTGTGTGTGTGTGTGTGTGTGCGTGCGTGCGTGCGTGCGTGCGTGCGTGCGTGCGTGCGTGCGTGTGCGTGTGCGTGTGTGTGTGTGTGTCCTTCCTAATGACGTGTAATCTGATCGGTGAGTCAGACCAAACAGACGTAACCTTGTGAGGAAGGTTGCGGTCACATTGTTTGTGTGTCAGAAACAGACGAGTAAAGGCTGATTTATCTTCAGGTTCTGAAGGTCGTTGAACATCTTTGAGTTAAAACGGACCTTTGGAGCTACTTGTTGCAGTTTACAATTTGGAAAGTCCTTGACAGTTGCACTGAACTGACGTCTGCAGAATTCATTTTTAGCAGTGTGAGCACATCTCACCTGAACTTTTCCCCCCTCCTCATTCATTTCTAAATTGTTCACTCAGGTCCTTCGTCTGGGATCTTCAAGGTTCTTTATTCTGCATTTTTCATCTTACACTGTTGTACACAGCGTACACAGCCTGATTTGGACCAAATTTCTGAGTCGTACATTTCATTTTCAAGTACAGCCCGATCACACACCACTAAGGCACGATGGCCAATCACGGCTCGATCATCTGGTCCTGAGGTCAGACGGTTTTCTGGCACGTTTGATATTTTGGCCGTACGACTGCACACACACACGCACAGTGAGAGCAGAGCCACGTGCCGATTCCCCCACTTCAGGAGGTTTTTATTTTTTTACTTAATTGTGTCTGCACAAAAATCGCCATGGCAACAGCAGGCAAGCCTGATTGATCTGTCGCCCCCTTCCGATCATGAAAGAAACGTTGGCAGGAAATATCTTCAGACCTCAAGCTGACCGAGAATGAGAGAGAGAGAGAGAGAGAGAGAGAGAGAGAAAGAGAGAGAGAGTTCCACCACGACACCGGATGTTCACTTACAGTCGTACACAGAACGCCGGGCTTTAGCTGCAAGAGGCAACGTCTCACTGTGTTTCCAAAGATGTTCACACTCTAGTTTTTAAGAAGCCGTTTTGCACATTTCGGGAGATTTTTGCTTTCGTAGATGTAGAAAAATACAGCAAAAGTTCAGGTTAAGGCTTTCTAAATATCCCTTTTAATTAGAGCCTGAGCATGAATGTGATTCCATACCTGCTGTGAGACGTCTCGTGTTGCCATCACAGATGTTAATGGATGCTGACAAGCAGACTGGCTTATTGAGACCACAGTCTGTGACCTGGACTGTGGTGGGTTTTCTTTTCTGGCCAAGTTGGGATGAAAATTGGACTGAAAATGTAAACACTGGACTTGATAAACCCGATAGCTGCATTACTCATACTGAAGCTGACTTATTGTTGTGGTATTTCTCAGTTTGAGGGCTCTGTCGTGTCGTTTGAACGTTCTGCTCTCCGCTGCATCAAACACTGTGAGTTGTTAATGTGTTTGAGGCTTTTCATGTGTGTGTGCCGCTATGTTTCGGGTGTGTCCACTTCTGTGTGAACGAGTGTCCGTCAATGATAAATTAGGGTTTGTACCCCCCCCCCACGCGCTCTGTGTTATGCTATTCTTAGCAGCTGTGTGGTGAGCTAAGGGTTTAGAGTTACAAAGACTCTCTCTCTCTCTCTCTCTCCCTCTCTTTCACTTCTCTGCCTCGCTCTACTTCTTTCCCTGTCAAACTGCGGGCCATCAGTGGGTGGTTCTTCACCTCTCGAATGCTTAAAGGTGAAAATGAAGCTTACGTAGGCGTGTGACATGAGGGATACTGCAGCATATTTAGACAGACTCTGCACTCCTGAGTATTGGAGATGCATTATTAGAAATGCGTCTATTATTATCAGCATCACATTATTGAAGCGCTCTGGACGGGGGGGAGCTGATAGGCTCTGTGACCATCATGACAGTTGCAGGGGGTCCCCTGGTAAAATAAGGACAAAGGGATTTACTGTTGAAGTCATTTGAACCTCGGTTCACCTTTGGCTGGATGTTCTGTGATGTTTGTGTAAAAATTAAGAACTAAATCAGGTCAAAATAAAATATTATATCAGCTCGTGAACTTTTTTTTAAACTGTGCTCTACAGACTTTCTTTAAGACTGAGTTTAATCATTAAAAGATCTCATATTATCCTCATTGTCTGTCTGTGAAACCTATAGAGCAGCTTTACATGATTACCAGCTCAAAAAACTGCTTATTTATCTGATACCGGCATCAGTAAAAACCCTAATTTCAGCATGAAACAGTTTGTTCGAGCTGCTGTCTCTTTAAGGCCCCACTTCCCTACATGCCCACTTCCTTCTGATTGGCCAGCTCTCTGGAAGCCTCCTGGGCGGGGCAGAACGCTGAAGGGCTGCCAGAGGAGGACTGCTCTCTAAAAATGTGTCTCTAGTCCGTCTAAACCCTCCAATGATGAGAAAAGTCCATCCTCTCCGTCTTGCCTGCTCCATTGTTCAGAAAAGGTGTGCTCAAGCAGGCCGTTTGGAGATTTTCCCTTCATGACATCACAAAGGGCAGTAACCCCTCCCCCAGGTGGGTGACACTCCCACAGCTAGGTGTTTGTTCTGCCCTCTGAGTCTGCCTTCTCACTGTAAACAATAGGACATGGAGCAAGAAAGCCCGAGTACACCCAAGCCCTTCCAGAGAGGGGGCGTGGTCAGACACAGCTCATTTACATATTTAAAGGTACAGACACAGAAACAGCCTGTTCTGAGCAGGGCTGAAATAGAGGGGTTTATAAACATGATCAAATACAGGATCAGAGTGGATTTAGAACAAGGATGTTTTGAGGAGTTTTGAGACTTACTTACACTGGATGAAGAGGAGGAGAATATGTCATCTTTAAGCGAAAATTACGTCCATCAGGATGCTAATTCTGTTAGCCCTAATGGTAATTTCCATTATGTGTTACCATCAAGCTAATAAACTATCCAAACTATAATGCACCAGCTGCCACTACATTGTTAGTAATGCTTTATTTGAAAAAGTATGAATATTGAGCAGACATGTTTAACCCTCTCTCCTCCTCTCTCTCTGTCTCCTACAGTGTCCTCTTACCTAGGGGTGTGCCGCGGGTGTGTATGAGGGAGTGTGTGTGTGTGTGAGCCAGAGCTTTAGGAGCCATGTCGGACCCCAGGGACATCGACGAGGATGCCATCCTCAAGGGACTCAGTCCTGAGGAGATTGATCAGCTGGAGTACGATCTGCAGGAGATGGACCCAGAGGTACGAGGGGGAGCACTTCATACATCTTTCACTGCTAGATTTATGCTCCAGAAGCAAGCGTAAATCTAGTGGTTTGTTAGCATGGTCCGAGTATTCCTGACACCGGCTCTAAACTGTTTTGGAACAATAACCTGCAGGATGAGATGAGACATGCAAGCTCCTTGTTGCCCCCCCCCCCCCTCCCTTTATCGCGTCTTGAGTTAAAACCATAACGTACAAGAAATCATAAACAAGAGACAAAAGGCCAAAAGATCAACTGAAGTATGAAATCCTGCAGCCTTCTCAAGCGGTTAACCCAAGTGTTGCCATAACAAGGTTTCCCAGAATGAAATGAAACATGATTTAGGCTTTTAATTCACAACACAAAATGTCCTCAGGAACTCAGGGCTGGACCTGCTTGTCCACAACTGGAACCAGGACTCAAGTAAAACCAGAGGGAACTTTATTTTACCCCCCAAAAGGTCCCTGCTCATATAGTTGTAGTACAAATAGAGACGTACAAATAGGGATGTTGATACTAAATAAATTTTACCCCAGTCTTTACTCACAGCTTTTAAAAAGAGTGATCCCTCTCTGAAGAAGGATTTGTTTAAGACTCAACTCAAGACTCAATCAAAGAGTTTCTCCTTAATCCCACCTATCCAGACTCTGAACTAACTTCCTGTTTCCCAGTCTTACATCTGCACATGGTAAATGGATGGTCAATGGACTTGAGCTTAAATAACACTTTTCTATTCTTACAACTACTCAAAGCGCCTTTACACTGCATGTCACACCTACACATTCACACACTGATGGTAGTGATCACTATGTAGTATCATCCATCAGAAGTAACTAATCCCATTCATACACCACCACCGAAGCAGCGGGAGCAATTCAGGGTTAAGTGTCTTGCCCAAGGACACATCGGACATGTTGCCCAGCTGGGGATCGAAACCCTTGACCTTCCAGTTGAGAGGCGACGACTCTACCAACTGAGCCACAGCCGCTCCATCAACATAACATTTGACCCTTTGCTCTCCCAGAATGCCATGCTGCCTGCTGGCTTCCGGCAGCGTGACCAGACGAAGAAGACCCCAACAGGTCCGTATGACCGTGACGCCCTGCAGCAGCACCTGGAGAAGCAGGCCATGGAGCACCCGGACAGGGACGATCTGGTGCCCTTCACCGGGGAGAAGAAAGGTGAGAGACACAATGCACAGAACATTTTAAAGTTTGAATCTCCATGGACTGTTGTCCTCCTCCTCCACTCAGCTCTTAAATGTTGTTCTCTGTGATGCATCACTGCACAGCAGCTGAGGCTCCGTCTGTGTTGAGGTTTCTGCAGCTCACTGACCTTTGGGGCCGTTTCCATCACACTGACATGTCCAGAGCTCCACCAGGGGGATGATTACACTGAGATACTGAAACAGGCTGTTTGCAAATGGATTCCCACGGAGCTCATCGGATTAATGAGAACAAATTAAGGAACAGGCATCTTCATGTCCTGTCAAAAATGAGTCTTCGTTGTGAGTCACCGCTGAAATTGTGAGAAAAGCACAAAGAAACAGCTAAAACCGAAAGATTTAGGCTCCAGTGGAAAATAAGGTCTTTTAAAGCTGGTCCATAAATCCCCTGATAAGCCTCAGCTCATGTTTTGGGAAACATGATCCGGGCAGAGTTTTGACCAAAACAGAGACAAATTCACGCTTTAAAACGATCCGACTGAAGAATCCACTTTAAGATAATGACAATTTACTTGCACACTGATGCAAACCAAACAACAGAACATTTTACTTTCTGTCTGACTCTTGTTAATTCTCTTCTCTTGGCGCCTTCTGGTCATCATCGTCCGTCCAGTCTTTCTGTCTGCCATTGATTTTCAAACCTCTCTCTGCATCTCTGATTGTCCCCCTGCCTTTTTCTTTTCTTTAATCCAATATCTTAACTCATCCTTTCTTTCTCTCTCTGTCTCCAGGAAAGACCTTCGTGTCAAAGACGAAGAAAGAGATCCCTGCACACGAGCAGATTGTCCTGGAGCCGGAGCTGGAGGAGGCTCTGAAAAATGCCACAGACGCAGAGATGTGTGATATTGCAGGTTAGAAAAACACAATAATGATGCTTTCCATGCACCTAACAAAACTCCCCCAAAACATCCTGATATTATCGGAGTGAGCTGCAAGTGTGAACGGAAGCAGCTGCATTTTTCATGTTGTCTTTACCCCGAAAAAGCAGGCCTGATAACTGAAGGCTCTACCTCCCATAGTACATTTAGAGACTGTAGGTACCACGAGCAGGCCTGATAACTGAAGGCTCTACCTCCCATACTACATTTAGAGACTGTAGGTACCACGAGCAGGCCTGATGACTGAAGGCTCTACCTCCCATAGTACATTTAGAGACTGTAGGTACCACGAGCAGGCCTGATAACTGAAGGCTCTACCTCCTGTAGTACATTTAGAGACTGTAGGTACCACGAGCAGGCCTGATAACTGAAGGCTCTACCTCCCATACTACATTTAGAGACTGTAGGTACCACGAGCAGGCCTGATGACTGAAGGCTCTACCTCCCATAGTACATTTAGAGACTGTAGGTACCACGAGCAGGCCTGATAACTGAAGGCTCTACCTCCCATAGTATATTTAGAGACTGTAAGTACCACGAGCAGGCCAGATAACTGAAGGCTCTACCTCCCATAGTACATTTAGAGACTGTAGGTACCACGAGCAGGCCTGAAGGCTCTACCTCCCATACTACATTTAGAGACTGTAGGTATCACGAGCAGGTCCTTACCATTTAGAGCTTTGTAAGTGAGTATTCTAGATTTTACAGGGAGCCAGTGCAGAGAAGCCAACACAGGAGTGTCAGAGTGTCCTCAGTGTGTCCTCAGTGTCTCTGACCCACATAGCTCCATCATACAGACCCAGTTATCTCTGGTCAGTTAGCTCCATATTGTTTCTATGCTCAGCGGTCCCAGGCTCACAGACATGGGCAGACATGCGATGGGTTCTAATTCCCCACGGTCAGCAACACAAAAATAAATAAGCCTGGCTGCGGGCCACTAAGGGAAGGGTGGAGTGGACATGGAGGCGGTGGGGGCAAAGATACTGTATCTGTTTACAACAAATGCAGGGGGAAGCTTCTGTGTTTGCAGATAGACGAGCGACAGTTTGTTTCCTGAGGAGCGAAGACAGTTTTATGAGAGACATGTTGTAGGAGTCGATAATATTTATTTATTGTCTGTTTACCACGGTATCTGATTTTCTTAATTTTATTATTGGAAGATGACCAAAAATATCTAAAACTAAACTAATAAAACACTAATTCACATCAATTAAAACCTTAAAACAGCTTTTAGAATAAATGTTGTTTTCAATCAAATCCAAGCGGTAATGAAGCCGATGCTGTAAATGAAGTGTGTAAAATCCTGCAGTTCCTCCAGTGTCCACTAGAGGCTGGCTGCAGAAGCACAGGAAGTCACATACACACCCATTCTAAAAAGCCTGTTTTTACAGCAGAGATTAACATGTTTACAGTCTGGTTCAAAAAACCAAACAGGTCTGATTAGCTCATGTCTCGATCGACACACACTGTACAGGGGGGGGGTGATTGTTTTGATGACTCATCAGTTTTGATTTAATGAAGGATAAGAGTTATTCACAATAAGGCGTGTAGCTGACCTGATTGACAGGCGGGCGCGGTGTAACGGTTTGTCAGGAGGCTTAAAACCCGTCTCAGCTCCAGCTCTCAGCCTGACAGAAAGTTATGCCGACTGAAAGTTAGGCTTATTCCTGATTGAACACCCGTAAAAAACACAGTGACACTCTAACAGGCTGAACAGACGGGCAGGCATCCGGAAAGCCGGAGCAGGGGAGCCTATTTGTGCGGCTCTATCAGCCTGTCAGGGAGACCACTGCCGTTTTAACCCTGGATATAGTCCAGCTGAGGATTAAACCTCAGTTAGCCTCTGTCAGTCTTTTGTGTGGGCTTTTTGGCAAACAGGCTAAAGGGGGATGAATAGCTTGGCCGTCGCGCTTCAGGAGCTCAGCGCAGTAATGGTCCAACAAGTCTCCCTGGTGACTTCATTTTCACCTTTTTTTATATTCCAACATGTTGCTATATGGAGCTTTTTATTTAACTGTGGTATGGTTTGTGCTGTAAAGCTACCGTGGGTTATTCTAAGAGCTAAACTGGAAGACGAGGGGGTGTTTATGGTCGGTAACGCCCCCCTGAGCAGGCAGCTGTCTCCCTGGCCTCCCTCTCCTCACAAGGCCCTTCCCATGATGCCCCCCACACCGGGTCAGGAAGCTGGGAAGGTGGACTGAGGGTGGAGAGGGGAGGGGAGCAGGGGGGGCGTGGGGTGCTGTCACAGCAGTCAACATGTGACACAAATTGGCATGTTACAACAAGAGCATAGAAAACCAGCAGGTCTGCCCTCTGCTGGTCATACATGGTAACTGCAGGATTCAAACCGTTATGGTTAACTGAGCAGCTGCTGTTGATGATATTCACTGTGAAAATATTGCTTGTCATATATTTAACCCTTACCCGTGCTTCAGGGATTTTGAAACAAATGTTTCTCCAAGATATGAATTACTCTGATTTTTATCAGAGTTCACACCTGCGGAAACTGAAAAACTCTCCAGTGAAGAACTTTTGATTTGCATCAGTTTTGGCGCCCACTGTGGACAAAGTTGCACCTTTTCTCTCTCTGTTGATCATCACCCCACGTTAAAGTTCTGTTTTCTGTTGAACACGATCATAATCAAAAAACATTTCTAGCATCAATCGCCTCATGTGACACGAACCCGGCGGCAGCGTTCACTCAATCTTCTTAAACTGTTCCAACCTGTTGTGTAGTCATTTACTTGCACACACACATGACACTGTGTGTGTTCGTGTGTGTTCCTTTAAAAGATTATGCTTTTAACCATCACTGATGTATTTAATGTATCGAGTAATTATTCAACTTTCTGCTCTTCTGGCTCTCACGTCTGTGAAGTTTGAAATGGAGATTTGGACAGTCACAGTCCCTTTCTTAATAACGTTTGTTGTTTTCTTAAACTGTTTCAACATGGATTTGCTTTAGGGACGTTCAAGGCCTTCCCTCCGTCCCTCTCAGGTTTTAACTTGAATAAATGTCATGTTTCCTCTGGGACTCTGGAAACTGTGCGATAACAGCCAGTGGACGAGTTTCCTGCTGAAATCAGACACCGATATTCTTATCTCATCAAACAGAAACGCGCAGCAGAACAAGAAGCGAGGAAACACAGCTGGGCCGCTTCTTGTTTTGGGACTCTGCTGGGTCCAAACCAGACTAACACTTTGGGAGATCCGTCCAGGACACATGATGTGACCTCACTCAGACATCACAGATGTTTTTTTTTAATCCTGATTGTGTTTCTGTCCTCGCAGCCATCCTTGGGATGTACACTCTGATGAGCAACAAGCAGTACTACGACGCTCTGGGCACCACGGGCACCATCGCCAACACAGAGGGCATCAACAGTATGTATGACATCATCACATACAGCTCCTTTTTCATTGGTCAAGATCATTCAGTAACTCGTATACAAAGAAGCACTAAAAAATGAACACTGGAACAACTCAGTGTCAGGTTTTATCTCATTGCTTTGTACGGAAGCCCCAAGCGGACCTGCATACGCACATTTTTTTATGCTGTTTTCCCGTGATAGAGACAAAATTTCTGCTATTTTCTTGAGATCCCTACTCCTTTATCTCGTAATCTACGGATTACAGCGTTGGTTTTACCGTGATAACTGGTTGATTTATCAAGATCTCGGGAAAATGGCTGCAAATGAAGTCGTATTCTAGGAAAAAACAAGCGATTTTATCCCAAGATTACAAGATAAATCAGTCAAGAACTCAAGAAAACAACCTGAATTTCTTCATTTTCACAGGAAAACTGAGATAAAAGCAATGTTCTGATACTGATATATGTCCGCATGCGGCTTCCATAGATTTACATAATTTTATAATACACCTTTAAATGCTATCTTTGGGAAAATAAAACAAACAAGCAAAGTGTCAGTGCTGATATTTTAAAGATACTTTAAATGTTCTGAACAGGAAACAGGAGTGGAGGTTACTGTAGATAAATAACACAATTAAAGACGGAGAGCATTTTGATCTTTGTTTAATCTTAGTGAAGCCCTTTAAGTGTCGAAGTCGATCATATGCCAATTCTTACCGTTAAAGAAATATTAAACAGAATGTAACTTAGTGTATTTCACTTGCTGTGTGTTGCTTCTCCTGCAGGTGTAGTGAAACCAGATCCATTCAAGATCTTTCCCGAAGAGCCGCCCAACACCACCAACGTGGAGGAAACCCTGGAGAGAATCCACAACAACGACAGCAGCCTGACTGAAGTCAACCTCAACAACATCAAGGTCAGCAGAACACGGAGGAACAGAGGGCCTGAATCACTAAAGGATTGCACGGATTCACCCAGATGGTTACATGCGTCACAAACATTTCCACCTCTGTGTGCCTACAAAATAAAAGCTCTGTATCTATGACTTCGACGTTACTATGATTAATATGGCCAGGGGTTAAATCAGTCGGGGGTTGGAGTCGTTACCATGGCGACGATGTGAGTGTTGTTGTTGTCTTTGAGTCATATTTTATCACTCCATTTAAGGAGGAAGCTTTATCTTGAAGGGTGAAAACTCATCTCACATGTTAAGAGAGTGTCCTCTTGATAAAGTTTAAAAAAGTGTAAAAAAGTTTCTCATCATCTTTATGTGGACAGAACTGAGCTCAGTCAGTGTGAGAGTGCAGCGAAGAGAGAATATGTGCAGATAGCTTCTCTAGACATTCACACAATAAAAACAAGAGCAAACTGCAAGGAGCATGACGGCAGAAATCTATTCTGAATCAGGCTCTGAGAGGTTAACAGGTTAATAGGTTTCTATAAAGGATCAGACAAAATATATTTTCAAACACACACTTTTTTTTTTTTTTTCATGTATATCTCTGTAAATCCTCCACATATGTGAAACTCTAATCCTAAAGTTGACGCCCTTCCGTCTGTGATGCAGGACATTCCCATCCCAACACTCAAGGAGATCTTTGAGGCGATGAAGGGAAACTCTCAGGTCGAGTCTCTGAGCATCGCTGCGACCCGCAGCAACGACCCTGTGGCCTTTGTGAGTACAACATAAAAATAATGTTTGATTGCAACAACGAGGCTGACAAATATTGTTCATACATTGTTTGTGTTTGGGGTTTAAAAAAAATACAATTTCTTATTTAATCAGTGAGATCTGTAGTGACTGAAAACCAGAGAAGGTAGGCGGTTTTAAGGCACCCCCACACGGCCGTTTTGGACGCCCCTTGGTTTGCCAGATATGAGAGCAGTTATCAGGTCAAACCAACAGGTGTTGCAGCGATGGAAGCGGGCAAGAGAACTGTTTCATATAGAAGTGATTGTACCCGACCTAAAAAGCCTCTGCATGTTTCTAATAAGCTCCACGAGCAGAAACGTGCTCAAACTAGGATCAATATTGGAGATGCTTTTGAAAAATGGAGAGAGGTTAGAACGCAGAAAGGTTTACAGACCGATGCAGAGCTGGCCAAACACTGAAGCTTCAGTGTCCACCACATGGCAACCTGACTCTAGAGAGGAGGGGGCGGGGAGAGACAGCTCTCTATGATGTTTAGAATTTGGACTGCAGTACCCGTTTTAACCACCAGGTGTCAGAGTCACATATTGCTCCTATAAACCTTGCAAATAGTGAATTTCCTGCTTTTCTAACTTTAAAAACAGAATAGATTACCATTTCTTGCACAAGGTGACTTGAGTTGTAGTTTGCTTTACTCATAGTTTACCTCTTAACATTTTCATACAAAGACAGAGTGAGAACTGTAAAACAAAATACAATATTAGCATGTGTTTTGACGTGACTGAACTATCCACTTTCACACTGTACAACTATTCTCCTAATCTACCAAATTGGTGATTTGGTGACTATTAATCCTGATTCTTTCTAAATTGGTGGATTTCAGGGTTTAATGGGGTAGCACAAAAGACTAAGAGGATTTCTAAGTTCAATTTATTGGGCAACATTTGTGAGAATTTAGTTTTTCAGTGCTCCATGAGATTTATTTTCCAAAGGTCACAAAGCGGGAGCTTGGAAAGTAAGAGTTTGGTCGTATTTTGTGGATGTAGTTCTCAATATTTCCCACTTTGTGTTCACGTGTGTGTTGCAGGCGTGTGCTGAGATGCTGCAGGAGAACACCAGCCTGCAGAGTCTTAACATCGAGTCCAACTTCATCACCGCCGATGGCATGATGGCGATCATCAAAGCTGTTGCCAAAAACGTCTCACTGGTGGAGCTCAAGATTGACAACCAGGTCTGAAACATGCACCAAAACCAATGAAAGTAACGTGTATCGACTCCAGTCAGTAAACAGTTTATTAAATGTGTTTTTTATCCGAATTCCTGGAGTATGTGTTGCTTTACTGAGCTGCTCGTCTCGTCTCTTCTCTTGGCTACAGAGGCAGAAGTTGGGAGACTCGGTTGAAATGGAGATCGCCTCCATGTTGGAGAACAACTCCAGCATCCTCAAATTCGGATACCATTTCACGCAGCAGGGTCCCCGCGCCAGAGCTGCCATGGCCATCACACGGAACAACGACATGAGTAAGAAACACACTCATTTAAAAACAGAAACACAGAGAAAATATGTGACAGGAAAAGTCCAGCAGAAATCAAAATATTAGAGGCTAATTTGTGATTTCTGAGGTTGCCAGGCGTTATTCTAAGATTTCCCGACTTGTTATTTGATGGAGTTAAATGTTCTCTTCGGTCTAATTCCTGATATTTCTTTCTGATATTTTTATTCTTCTGCAGTTCGCCAGCAGAGATTAAGATGAGAACGACGAGTAGCTTAAAGAAGAACAACCTGCAAACTGCCATCGTGCCGTCTTTCCCAGAGTCTAAATGAATCATCCCAAACGCAGCTGGATCACCGTGCATGGTGCAACCCAATTAACATCCATGTCAGATCATTTCATTTCATTTACCATATCCAGCTTTTTGTAGACTGCTGAATTATCATAAAGGCATGTATAGGTCACAAGCAAAAATGTGAAGTGTCTTTTTTTTTAAAATGCTTTTAGTTTGTGCATTGCCAACGTCATCCCAAACCCCCCAAAAAATTAACTCTTCATTCATGGAGAAAGATTTCTAATGTGGTGCTATCTGTTGGAGGAAACGAAACTGTAAATACTTTAAATAAAATATATATTCAAGTATTTCTTCTAAATGTTTGGCAAGTTTAATTTGATTGAATCTGCACCTTTTTGTCTTTAATATTTCAATCAAGCGGCAACCTGCGTTGTTGTACAATGAAGCTTATGTGGAATAGAGGAAAGACAAAAACAACCCTAACGGAGCCCGTGCTCGCTCTCTTCTAGCCCAGCCTGTCCCGCTAACTGTATTCATGTTTCTATTTATCTATTGGAGGGGGGCGGATCCTGGCCAAACTGGGTCCGGCAGAGAATCTAACCTCTAATGTGGAATTGCAAAACAAAAAGTGCAGTTCCTCGAGTGTCCACTAGAGGCTGGCTGCAAAAGCCCCGGAAGTCACATACACACCCATTCTAAAAAGCCTGTTTTTACAGCAGAGATTAACATGTTTACAGCCTGGTTCAAGAAATAATTTTGGTCTGAACGGTTCCTGTCTTTCTCCGCACACACTGTACGGGGAGTGACTTGTTGTATAACATATCCGTTTTGATTCTATAAAGGATAAGAGTTATTCATAATTAAGGGCGGTAAGTTGTGGCTGTTTGTCAGGAGGCTTACGGCCGCCTCAGCTCCACCTTCTTTGCTTGTTACTTGATTAAAAAGGTTGTTTGAGTCAACATTTTCAACGTGGCGACCGCCATGAAAAACTCTGCTTCAGAAAACAATGGCTGACATCACAGAGACTACGTCCATGTTTTATACAGTCTATGATTTCAATGATTACGACTTCTATGACATCTGCTGAATAAAAAGGTTGCACATCCTTCCTCTAATGATGTCATTCATGATGAAAATGCACCCATATTCTGAAAATGATAATTCATTTTTATGAATGCTTTTTCGTTGAGATTCTGATCACCAGTTGCTCCGTTCTTTAGTGAACATTAAGTGATAGTTTCCCGCTCTGTTCACTGACATATACTTCCACTAATGAACCTTCATTTTAAGAATCGTCTCTTTAATCCCTCTAAGTCTCTCCGGATCCTCTCACTTCCCTCAAGCACCTGACTTATTTTTAAAACTCTGACTGGAAACATGACCTGGTCGGCTGGGCTTCAGTTACCTTGTTCCAAATATAAGAAGCCACTTTAAGAGGGTTGGCACCCCGCGTGCACCCGCAGACATTTACGGACAGAAACAGCTGCTAACCTCGGAGGATTTTCACAGCATTGCCGGAGTTCCTGCGCCGCCTCCCCTCCTGTCTTTCACCTGCTTTCTTTATTTCTTAAAAAAACCCATATTTAATGTTGAGTTTTACACGCCGACAAGCAGAAAACAGATTATTTAGTCTTCTCAGAGGATTTATATGAAGTTGCATTTGGCATTTTAAAGGCCTCTCTGTGCCAAAATCTATTCTGAGTGTTCCTCTTCCTTTTCATCGCTCTTAAGATAAAAACAGGTGTATATTTTTAATGCACGGCTTGATTTCATTAATATGGGTTCATATCAAACTATGCCTGTTTTATAGGAAAGAAAAATAAGAAAAATGTGGAATATAAACATGAAATAACTTCAAGGAGGAATGTGCGGTTTTGTGATCCAGTAGGTGTCGCCCTTGAGCTCCAGCATGAAACCAAAACAAACTGCTGTTTGGCCACGCCTCCTCCATACTGAAGCCTCCGCTCACCTCCAACGACACACCTCCAACACCCTCCACTTGCGTTCGCATGGAGTTTAGCTCAAGCGGTGGAAAAAACTGTTCTTTGCTTGAGCTGCAATCACCTGTGTACTGCATTGTTGTGTTAGCATGCTAATGTTAGCGCTCTTTAGTTAGCTCATAGCTTCATAACATGACATGGAATGGCAGTGATTTAAAAACTCTTATGTGGTGCTGGTTATCCGAGCTCTGAAACGATGAAGTGAGCGTTCTTTGGACACATATTTGCGGCGTCATCAGAAACTAACCCGTGTTAATTCCCTCCGCCTCCACCCGCTGACCCTGGTGGTGTTATTCAATTCATACCGACGGTGCTCAAAGTGTCTCTGGGTGAAGAATGCTAACCAGTGGATTCACTTCCACCATTAGCACCAGTAGAGCCTGAATCAGCGCAGAGCAGAGTGAGGGTCAGTCCTGACAGAGAGGTCATGGCGCTCATTTAAAGGGTTATAATAGACAACAAAGGGCGATGGAAATAGTCGCTCTTGTCCTGCAGGTCAACAGACATGTTCAGCTTTCAGTGCTGCGCTCATTATCCCGGCGGGTCGAGACATAATGTTGACGTTTGAGAGGTTAATGTTCCAGCAAGTTTGTAACGATCCTCTGAATGAAAAAAAACAGCAAACAAAACAAAAAAAAACAGATAAACTTATGTTAGAGTACAAGAAACAATATGTGAAGTTGTTGGCATGTAAATAAAAAGAGCACCTAGATCATAGACTGTAAATATGAATGTTTGAAGCCTGAGTGACGTCACCCGTCTGTTCCTGCAGGGGGCGCTGGAGTCCCATCGATGGCGGTCTCCATGTTGGAAATGCTGTCTCAGCCTAACTTTCAGTCGACCTAACGACAGGCTGAGAGCCGGAGCTGAGGCGGGATTTAAGCCTCCTGACAAACCGTTACACCGCGCCCGCCTGTCAATCATGTCAGCTACACGTCTTATTGTGAATAACTCTTATCCTTCATCAAATCAAAACTGATGAGTCATCAAAACATTCACCCCCCCCGTACAGTGTGTGTCGATCGAGACATGAACTAATCAGACCTATTTGTTTTTTTGAACCAGGCTGTAAACATGTTAATCTCTGCTGTAAAAACAGGCTTTTTAGAATGGGTGTGTATGTGACTTCCTGTGCTTCTGCAGCCAGCCTCTAGTGGACACTCGAGGAACTGCAGGATTTTATACTCCTGCATCAGCTTCATTTTTTAACACCAGAAGTTAACGCTTGATGTAGACACAGTTTATTTATTGTTATTCTCCAAATAAGACTTGTAAACATGTTAATAGTACCTCAAACATGTTTACGCCTCAATCAGAGAACGCACATCCAAGCGCGATGTATACAGATGCAGGACAAACAAAACATATCAACAGCAGAAAAAAGAGAAAGGTCCTTTATTTCAAACAGGGCAACGTTTCGATCCGAAGGCCTGAAGAAAATCCTTTGGTTCGAAACGTTGCCCTGGACTCCATGGTTCCAGCACCGGGTTCAGACCTTTTAGTCCAACAGCGTGAATTCCTTCCACAGCGGAAGTCCTGTTGTCGTCTGCCTTCAGATACGAGCCCAACCTGGCCCACATCCGGTGAAGACATGGGACATGTGAGATATAGCATCTAATAATTACAGAAAACTCCTGAGTGTCCCGAAGTAAACTGAAAACTGAGAAGGTGAATTCACTGTGGCGGTGACCTCTCAGTCACAGGAAGACTTTCAGTTTTACACCTACCCTAATTTATCGTCTCTTTTACAGTTAAAGGGACAAATATTTACAAAGAGAGCATCGTGCTGCATCGAACACGACCTGAAACAAGAGGCTGAGAACATAAACTGATTAGGAAAATGTTTACTGAAGCAATAAATCAGGATCACAGGATCGTTTTCTTGGAGCCTTCTGGCTTAATTTTTTGCAACCTTTGGCGTTTTCCCTTAAAAAGAGAGCTGGTCTAAGGCCCCTCCAGACACAACAGAGGCATTAACAACTGAGTTCATGTTGTGAGTTCATGTTGTTCCAAGAGTTAAATAAGAGCAGGAGAAAAAGCACAAGAAAACACAGTCACTCAAAGGCTGATGGATGTTACAGATCTGGTAAAGCAAGTCTTTGAGCCTGGAGGTCCGGCTGTTTCGAAACAGCTTCAACGTACCACCGTGGCACGAGTCCATATGTGTCCTCCCACAGCTCTTTGTCCTCTCAGTGATTTGTAGGAAGGGAGGGCAGCGAAGGAGGCTCCTCGTCGTCTGAATCAAACTCCACATTCTCGTCTTTAACCCACTGGCCGCTCCGGTCTCGTAACCATCCATCACTGAGAAAGAGACAGAGCAGGTTGAACTGTAAACAGGAGACTAATGTCGCGGTGAGATCAATATGTTCATCCTCACTTCAGACAGTGTCGTACCTTTTCAGTTTGAGGTAATGCTCCAGCTCTTTCCTCCTCTCAGCTGTTAAAGGCTGCTCCTCCTGAGTCCCTGCAGCCACAGAAGCTTTCGTCTCTTCTGACTGATGTGACGCTTCATCGGCTGCAGGAGACAAAACATGACAGACAGTGAGCCACAATCAACTCAGACTTTCCCTGAAAAGAAAAGAATCTCATTGTAAAGATATCTAATGACAGATTCTACCTGCAGAGCGCTCACTAGAACCTCTCTGTGATAAACAGTCTGAACTTTCAGGTTCCCCGCGCTCTCCTTCTGGATCAGACGCTGTGTTGACACTCTGATGTCCTTTTTCAGATTTTGTGCTAAAAAAAAAAACAAAGAAACAAAATATTCAGGTTTTCAATTTTAATGTCCTTGTATTCCTTATTTAGGATTCAAAGCAGCCCCTCCCTCACCTGGTCGTCCTATGGCAGCTGCTGTACGGTACAGTCTTCAGTAATGCATGATGTGTCAGCCTTCGTGTTTGTGCCAGTAAAGGGGCTGAAGAGGACGGCTCCTGAAAGCACATGGGAACGACATGTTTGGGAATGCATAAGTGTCCTAAATGTGACTCAGAGCTCTCAAACGCTCCGTCAAGTGCTGCTTATGTTTCTTTTCCACGATGGACAGCACATTTTAATCAGTCATGGTCATGTGTTAAAGTCACAAGGGAACGGCACAACGCGTTCAACACGGGACGGCAACATGGATCGACAATGAAGAAAATTGTTCCCCTTGTGTTGTCGATTATAATGAGCCATCAATGACTTTCCACATGGGGACCAATCAGCGACACACTCGTCTCGCTTGTTTCCGAGGCTCCAGAGACAAGTTTTCTCTCCGAGTCAGGAGGTCGATACTGAGACAGCAGAAACCTTAACCTGATCGAAACTTTAAATGAAACTAGCAAATCAGCTTTAAAAATGAATTTAGCTAAACTAAAATTGAAAACAAAAACTTAAAACAAGTTAGTGCGCGCCCCACGTACAGAGGCTGAAGTCCTCCAAGTGGGAGGCCCGGGTTTGAATCCGACCTGTGGCTCCTTTCCTGCAGCAACTGGACATCAGACAAACATTTCAAAATAAGCGTAACCAACCTGTCTCTCGTCTTCGGCCTGGACGTAGTTCTCATGTTGCCTTTTCGTTATTTCATTCTTCAAACGCGCTTTCTTTCCATAAAATGACTTTAGTCCTAAAGAAACAGTCAAAAGAAAAATGTTTAGAAAAAGTCAGCACCTGTGTGTCCAATCAGACTTCTTCTTCTTCTTCTTCACCTTCTGGACCGTGTTTGTCTCTTTTTCTCATGTCTGTGACTTTCTTTTTAGGTTTGTCTTATATTTCGTTTTTTACTGCTGCCATTTTGGCCAGGCCTTGCTCGAAAAAGAGGTCATTTGATCTCAAGCAACTCTTGCCTGGTAAAATAAAGGTAAAATGAAACTATATAGAAGAATCTAACGTCAAAATATACCCAATGTCATTCTTTTTTATCACTTTATTGTGATATTATTATTATTGTTATCATTATCACGAGCTGTGCATCATGTAGTGCCGTATCAAGTTTTACGTCTTTTCCCACCCCTATAATAAAATGAGCAGTATCATTTCATTCTACAGATGTAGAAATGTTATTATTCAGTGTTTACGACATATTTATCTCAGTAAGTCCCTGTACTTTTTTTTGTTATTTCAGGATATGTTATGAACTAAACATCATATAAAAGAGAGAAGACCTTCACAATTGAAAGTCTCACCTTCTAGATGCCGTTTCCCCTTCCGGTGGACGGTGAGCATATCAACAGTGTCAAACACTGGGCGGTAGGAGCACACGAGACAAGTGTACCTGCAAACACACCACATGAGTCATTCCAGCTGTGTCAGTGTTAAAAAACAGCCTTTTAACAGCATAAAGTAAAAAGTTTATTTCACCTTCCATTCTTCAGAAGAGCTCCTTCATCTTCTGGTATAAAATGTGACAGCAGATCGGCCACACGACGTTTCTGAAACACAACAGGTGTCCACACTTTTCAGGTGTTATGCCGAGAAATGCATCCCTGTCGAGAATCGCTGAGACATCTCGCATGAAAATGTAAAACATGACAGACACAGTTTATTCACTGCTATATTTTGCATCCACCTTTTAAAATACTAAGACGCCGTATTTTGAATCCATTCTTAAATATTCTCTACAGACACTTCAGAGTCAAACATTGTCAGCAGGTCATATTTATGAAGGCTAATCAAAATGGGTCTTATATCGAGTCCACAGCACATTAGAGACACTTATATATATATATATATATATATATGTATAAACTTCTCATACTTTGTCGTCACAGATCTGCCTCAAGTGATCAGATTTATACCGTTTTCAAACACCTCCGCGACTCGCATGCAATGATTGGAAGGGATGCATTTCACGACAGTACACCGGCTAGTGGCTAAACATTAGCTCGCAGGATGCTAACCATAACAACACGTAAAACTTCCAGCTGAAGTCTGAGTTAAATAAGTTTAAAAATATCTTTCTACCTTCAGGATGTTTAGCTGACTCTTGTCGTCCCCTTCCCGTTTAAATGACATAATTATTGTGACTGACAATCTGGAAACAGATGACCGTTTAGCGGACTACGTTAGCTTATGCTTGACAACACCGGGCCAGTTAGCAAAGTTGCGTTCGCGGTCAAAGAGGAGAAATTGGATATTATAGCTGTTTATTTAAATAGCGCCATTCAGGTCACTTTTAAGGTTGATTAGGCCTAAAATTCGCTATTTAACATGTTTGCTTTAGTTGCACATGATTTGAGACCATGCAACCATTGTCCAATCCGAATAAACAGCGCAATCAGCTGCATTATTTCTTTGTTTTGTTTGAACAAGTTCAATATAAAATATTATAAATACTTCACATGTAGTTTGTCTGACACATAATCGACAGCGATATGGGCGGAAATCTTTTATCGTTGTGTGCCATTTTCTTATTTCCTTTTTTTTTTTAAACTGAAAACTGGATTAAGTTTTAGTAATTCTGATGATCATGAATGCAGCGCTAGTGACGAATCACGAGATTGACCTGCTGCATTCAAGTGCTTCCCGGAGAGTCCACACTTTGAGATTAGACGGTCGTTTACAAGTTTTAAGAGCTTATTAAGTCGTTGAAACAACATGTGAGCATGGAAACGACATGGCACATAGGTTATCTTTATATGTTAATAAATTATATAGATAACGTTATTGGTGCAACCCAATCACATTATAGAAAATACCAAATAATAAAATAATAATAATGTAATTCGAATTTAATCAACGATTTGTTAACTAATAAGGATGTTTTACCAACAAGTCAACGTTTTCTTTGTGCTGAATAGTTGTGGCATAGTTCTGTATAATATAGCAACAAGCCCAGAGCAAATCGGGACGATTTAGAAAGCCAACAAGACGATTACCCAGACTGATTCTAAGTTTTCCCGACTATTTCAACTTCACGCGAATGCAGCGTTGCTCCACCCGGCAGCCATGGCAACATAAGGCAGCAGCAGCCGCAGCAGACGGCAGCAGTCTACGTCAGTCATGAAAACATGAACGCTCACAACTTTCCAGGTGTTTTGTTTGAGATCATGTAAGGTAGGTTAAACCTGCGGAGGAGTTTTATGTTTATAATAAATTCGACGGATGGTGTTAAGGTAGTCAGAGAGAATTAAACACTCAGAGAGAGGAATGAACGTCAGAATTAATTAAGTTGATGATTTAGCTAGCAGGCTAACTAATCTAGCTATGTCCGGAGAGCGAGCCCCTGTCCCGGCCGGAGGGAACGGCCTCCTCCGGGGGAGTCGAACCAGATCTTACGGCAGTCTGGTCCGGTCTCCGCTGTCCCCGGTCCGACAGAGACGCATTGAACACAAACTTCAGCCGGGAGAAACCCTTCAAGGCTTGGCCCTGAAATATGGCGTGTCTGTAAGTATTTCTTATTCTGGAGTCACTTTCTAATCTTTTACTAATCCTGAATCTGACATCTGAAGTCAGATTACTAAATGTAAATGTGTAATTTGTTAAAAATATTAAAGCGTTATGGTTCATTTTAAAATCTTGAGGGCACCACATTGATATTTTTTTTTCATTCTGAATTCATAGAAATAAATAAAACTGAATATCATTAAATAAACCTAAAATATAAAACTGCCTGTTTTTTTTTTTTAATGAAGTATATTTATCTGCACAATGAATTGCAGTTTCATCGTGTTACATTACATTGTTATGTAATCATAATAATAACACACTGGACTTAATTAGTGTTTTCAGAATACTCAAAAGACTCTTAAAGAACATCGACAAAGGAAACAAGGAAGTGCAAACAAACAGCTTTAAGTCTGATTGGACACACAGGTGATCAGGGGCAGAGCACAGGTGCTGACAGGAAGTGACCAGGGGAAGAGCACAGGTGCTGACAGGAAGTGACCAGGGGAAGAGCACAGGTGCTGACAGGCAGTGACTAGAGGAAGAGCAACAGGTGCTGACAGGAAGTGACCAGGGGAAGAGCACAGGTGCTGATAGGAAGTGACCAGGGGAAGAGCACAGGTGCACAGGTGCTGACAGGCAGTGACTAGAGGAAGAGCAACAGGTGCTGACAGGAAGTGACTAGAGGAAGAGCAACAGGTGCTGACAGGAGGTGACCAGGGCAGAGCACAGGTGCTGATAGGAAGTGACCAGGGGCAGAGCACAGGTGCTGACAGGAAGTGACTAGAGGAAGAGCAACAGGTGCTGACAGGAAGTGACTAGAGGAAGAGCAACAGGTGCTGACAGGAAGTGACCAGGGGCAGAGCACAGGTGCTGACAGGAAGTGACTAGAGGAAGAGCAACAGGTGCTGACAGGAAGTGACCAGGGGCAGAGCACAGGTGCTGACAGGAAGTGACTAGAGGAAGAGCAACAGGTGCTCAGACAGGTAGGGGTTGGAGCCAGGATGTGGAGGGCTTTGTAGGTGATGATAACGAATTTGAAGTGGGTTCTCTGGGGGATGAGGAGCTAGTGGAGGTTATGAAGGACGGGCAGGTGATGTGGTCACGGTGCAGGAGTCTGTGAGAAGGCGAGCAGTAGAATTCTGAATATATTTGTAGTTTCTTGAGTGTTTTGGATGAAGAATACACATTAAAACTGTGAGTCAGCACTAATACACAATCTTAAATATGTATTTATTTATCGCACGCCATCGTTATCGCGTTATAGAATAATGTTATTACACATGGCGTCATGCAGGCCATGCAAGAACTTTGTGTTCTTAAAGACTGACAAGGTTTTCTTCTCTTTACAGATGGAGCAAATCAAGAGAGCGAACAGACTGTACACCAACGACTCCATCTTTCTGAAGAAGTCCCTGTCCATCCCTGTGCTGTCGGACTTCAATCACTGCGGTAACGGGCTGGGTTTGGATCTAGGGGACAGCGAAGACGACAGTTCTGCCGGTGCTTCTGCTCACAACGGACACACTGGGGGCTCCACTCAGGACAAACAAGACGATGGCAAAGCAACAGGGCCAGACCTTACTCCGGTGGATTTTTTGAAAAGGTTGGATGACTTGATTAATCAATCTAAAGAGGCTGCCGTCAAAGGATGCCAGGGAGCAGAGCAAAGGTGAGTCTGTACTGTGAGGCTCTTGGTGCCTCGCTGCTTGTGCTGACACCGTCATGCTCCATGTTCCGGGTGTGAAATTGTCCATTCAGTTGCACATTGTAGACGCGTCTGTGCTGCTCCAGTGAGAAGTCATGTAGAAAATGCATCGCTTTCAGTCACTTGACCGGCGCAGAGGCCTGGAGGTCAAAAAGAGCTTAGGAAAGCAGCGGCAACCACTGAGGCTGCAGTACAGGATTGTTTATTTAACGTGTCTTCTAAAATAAAACTGCATGTTTACTCACCTTACAACCACAGAAAAACAGTTTTGTTCACGTGCGACTCTTACGCAGTACACAGGACACTATTTGAATTTGTAAAATAAACAAGGGAGTGGTGGCATGAAGCATTTGTGTGCTGAATGCTGATAAGAAAAGCGCTTACCACGATTTCCAGCGATGCTGACATTCGCCGACTCTGTACCAGTTTTACACACGGCACCAGCTTCTCTGAAAAGCTGCTTTTTATTTTGAAATTCCTGAAAACTGAAATAATGTGACTGAAATTTTACCAAACAGTAAACTTAATTCAGGATGTCTAACTTCACAGATCAGAAATGTTTGATTTAGTGACTCTGCACTGTTACCATAGTTACGTTACACCACTCAAACGCCTTCTAGTGTATTTGCGTCATGACTTTGGTGAGAGGACGCAGCCAAAGGTAGCCTGACGGTTATGTTGTACGGCCCATGTTCAGAGGCGATAGTCCGCGTCGCAGCTGCCGTGGGTTCAAATCCGACCTCAGCCCTGCTGCGTGTCATCCCTCTCTCTCCTCTCAAAGTTTCCTGTCTCTCTTCAACTGTCCTATTTAATAAAGGCAAAATACACAAATGAAAAAGATTAAACCCAGGATCTGAAGTTGTCACCATGTCAAAAATAATACCGGTAATAAAATGGGATACACAGGATGCATGGGGTTACGTCTGGCAGCACCACTGGATGATACATATTCTTTATGATGAATGTTTAATATTTGATCAGGACTCCTGAACGCAGCCTATCAAAGCATCTCTGAGAAAGATGAAGGCAGGCTGATAAGTCTCCCGTCACGAGTCTTCAGACTGACTGTTATCGTCTCTCATCTCTTTGTTCTCCTCAGGGTTTCCGCCTTAGAAGCAGCTTGCAACAGCAGGCCATCAGACAGGCGGCAGCTTACGAGATCGCAGAGTGTCGCCTCGTCTTTCAGAACACAGCAGCAGCACGCGGCACACGGGACGCTACCGGCGACCATCACCAAACTCACAAAGAAACTGAGAGACAGAGAGGACGAGATCTTCCAGCTGTGAGACTTTGTTCCTGCCATCTCCAGCGGATCATTAGAGACACTTTTAAAGGAATAGTAGAGCATTATTGACAGAGAAATATAACTCCTTTGAGGACGCCAGCTAAGACCTTTAGAAGGGGAAGTTCCTCTGAGGCTTATTGCACTTTTACAGCCAGTTTATTTATTTTTTAAGACACACTGTAGATTATGAAACAGATATGTGTGTTTGGCTTCTTTTAACATCTTGGAAATATGTTAGACATGTGCCCTCACATGTTGGTTTCATCATATGACTTATTACACGGTCAATTGAACACGTGGTGCGTCCGAGTGTTCTGCTACCTCACAGCGTCAGATTGCAACACTGTGGCCGGGTACAAAATAAATCCCATTCATTGTGGGATTTAAGAGCGGCTGTGAAGTCGACCCGTGTCTGCTACTGCTCCTGAGTTTGATCCATAATGTAGCCAAAGATTTAAAGGTCATATTATACAAAATACCCCTCACATGCTATGTGTCCCTACTCCCTCTGTAATCCCCCCAGTGATGAGAAAAGTTCATCCTCTCCACTTTTCAGAAAATGTGTGTTCAAACAGGCCGTTTGGAGATGTTCAGGAGGAGGATATGAGACCTTTAAAAAAAGAAGAAACTTTTCGAGTATTGTAGGATATATTTTTAAAGGAAGCGTTTTATTTTTCAGTTAAAGGCATATTTTGTTGTTCCTTTAAAGCTTTTATAGATTGTATTTTCAGATTTTAAAACAGTGTTTTGATGATGTGAAGTCGTAGGATGCCGTGTTTCAGGTGGACGCACGCACGTTTTTAGCCCTCATGAAGGGAACGCAAGAAGCGACTGACTTTCATTCACACTGCTCTTTAAACTGCCTCTAAACTTTTTAGTTAAACTTTATGTATTAGTCTAATCAAAGGCGTCATGCCCATTAAACCCCCTCAGAGTATTTAAAATCTGACAGTATTTATGGAAGAGTACTGATTAAAAAAGCTATGAAAAATGAGTAATTAGTACTTTTTGCAGAGGATTACGCAGTCTGTGTTTGAAAATGCAGAAAATTGCATCATTCTTCCCATATTTTTTCCAAGAAGGACCCCGCCTTGACCCCACTCCATCTTAGAGCCCCTGAGTTTTTGGCTTGCATGACGGCCCTGAGTCTAATCCACATCATTGATCACACAGAGAAGAAAACATATTTTTGCAGGAAGGTGTTACATCACTTAACTTGACCGCTGTGTATTGAAAAGTGTCCATATGTCTGATTGTGTTGCCTCTTTATTTTTTAATGCAAAACAGAAGACTTTGACCTGTGATTATGAATCGTAGGGTTAATCCTGCTCGTTCACTCTTCTCCACTGAAGAGTCTTCTTGTTGTGAAGCTGGAAACACAAAGTGTTGCTCATCGTCTCTGTGGGGTTATTCGCTTTATTGTCGGCCTCAGTGAATACCTTGCAATGAGCTGCTGAAGCTTCACCTTGACCACTAGATGGCAGTGCTGTGTTACAGTGATACTGTTGCCCGTCCGTTTCCTTTTATGCAATCTGCACAGGCACTTAAACTCCTCCTCCCTAAAATACACAACATCAGTAGTTTGGAACATTTCAAGGTCTCAAATATTAAACATGTGATGACATCATCTAATAAAAACAGCTGATATAGAAGTATAAACCAGTTTCTGTGAAATGTACGTCACACTAACACAGCATGTATGACCTTTCAGATTAATAAAAAACAACTTTATTTTTGTCCCACTTGTTCTCCGAGGACAACGAGGGGCGTCGGTTTTGTTCTCAAATCTCTCGCCTCACGTCACCAGTCCTCGGCAGACGTAGGACAAAAATCCTCCATCGAGTTCTGAGTCTTGTGTGAGTCCGCCCATAGATCTCCCAGTGTCTGACTTTTTTTTTTTTAAACGTTTATATCATATAGTCCCCTCCTCCACCAGTTTGTTGAGTCCTTTGCAGATCTTGGTGAGGTGGGGTCTGAAGGGTCCGTCGGGCTCGTACAGTTTGGTCAGGAGCTCGGGGTCGGAGTAATGGTTGAACACGTGGTTGATGCGACCGTGGGACTTTGGGGTGAGGTGGGTGTTGACAAGCTTCAGGAGCAGGTCTCTGCAATTGGTCAGGAGTTCGGCCATCACGGCCTTGTCGAAGGTGAAGTCTACCTGCAACGGAAATACCACGTCAGCAAACACTCTCTACTCATTGAAAACAGAAAAAAGACTCTGGGGCTCAGAAAAAACGCTAGGTGGTCCCAGCGCCAGTGACCGTGTTGTGGGCTACCTGGTTGATCTCGCCAGTAGCATATGCTTGTCTCAAAGATTACGCACGGCCGGTATAGTGAAACTGCAAAACTTATTAAATCAGTTATGGTTCCTTCAGTTAAGTTAAGCTCCCATATCTCCTCATATTCACCTTTCATTTTGTCAGTATGTGAAACTTATAGAGCAGCTTTGAATGACTTATTGAGATAGAAAAAAACCTTCACACATGCATTTAATAAGACAGGTGCATAGTAAAGCAAAACTCTAGGGTAAACTCTGCACACTAACTTGAAAACACACATGTATTGGCAACGTTTCAGTACAAGACCTTCATACAGTGTGCAGGAGTTTACCCTTGAGTTTACGGTTATCAAATATGTTCTTTAACTTTGAAATGCTGCCAGATTTCCCTCCCATTTATTGGTTATTTAGTTGCCATTCAATTTAAAAAGCGGTGAAATGATGACTTGTCAAATTCTTATTGTAGCCGAAACACGGTATTTACTCTTTACAGAACTCAAAACAGTCATAGGGTACATTTACCGTCCAGGATCATCACATCTGTTTTAATGACCTTAAGTGATTAAAGTGCAAACCTTACTGGTGTCATTACTTCTAGTCTGACGTGTTTTCTTGACGGAGTGAAGAACTTTGATTTGAGATCAGTAACAGAACTTCTGGGTTTTTAAGCCTGCACGTGTTCTGAACGAGTAAACACAAACTGGTACCTCGTAGAAGCTGATAGCCGTCATGGCCCCGAAGTGCAGCTTCTTCTTAAAGTCCGTGGCCACCACCAGCTCGTCTGTGCTGAAACGGTTGTTCTTGAACAGCACGCCGATCTTCACGGCGATCTTGATCAGGTCTTTGATCACCTTCTGGGCCTCAGATTTGTTCCCAGAGTACTCTTTGGAGACCCGGTACAGCTCGTCCAGGATCTCGCTGGTGGTGTCGTCGATGAACATTTGGACGGAGCCTTTGGTGGCCATGGAGCTGAGGAACTTCTTCTGCACCCTCATGGCCATGTCCCTCGAGCTGAAGGACTCCATGGTTACCTGAATTTAAAAGAGAAGGAAAAATGCATTTTAATAACGATGTTGATGATTAAAATGTTGTTTTTGTCATCATTATTTCACCGCTCGCACAGTTTAGTGATTTAAATCTACAGACGATTCACGACTTGATGCCAAACCATCCCAAGCTTGCATTTGGCGCTATGGACAATTGTAAAATACAAACAAAGAATCTCTAAAATGATCAGTAATGATGCGCTCAGTGTCCCAGAAGCACGACACAGCAGGAGCTCCACATACACACACGCTCAGACATGCGCACACACATTACTGCGCTCCCCCTGCTGGAGCTGTCTCACCTCTGTTCCTACCCCTGAAGACCGTACAGAGGGGGGATCAAATCGTCACCCTGTTGTGCCTCTGCAACATTCAGATTGAAGGTGAAACGTCACGGGCCGTGTATTTACCGCGGCTTAAAGCGGCATTCTGAATAGGGCTAGTATTTCAGGAATAGATGCCCACATAAAAACCATCCTGAGTCAAAAATATGGCGTGCAGCAAAGGGCCGAGGTTGGACCCAAACGCCAACCTACCTACTTTATTAATCCCTGAAGGAAATTCTGGTTTACACTTTCACACACAAAGGCCTGAAATACACACATGCACAAACACGACCTGTGGACATGCACTAGTGGAGAGATGTCAGAGTGAGGCTGTTACGCATGTACACTAGGGCTGTTGAGGGTTCGGTGCCTTGCTAAAGGGCACCTCTGCATTCCTCGGGTAGTGACCTGGCACCTTCCAGAACAACTTCCATTTTTGGTCTGCACCGGGACTTGAACTTGGGACCCTCCAGTTCCCAACCCAAGTCCTACAGACTGAGCTACTGCCGCCAACATGGAGCCTTTTAAAACCAGCGCTAACTGTGCTAAGCTAACACTATACAAATGTGACAAGATAAGAGTAGAAATGTCTACTCTGTTCAAACTCTGAATTGGTTGCCAAGTAAATTACGCCTCAAAGAACCCATCAAATGTAGTTTAACGCCATGCGGACAACTCAGCCTTCGAGGCAACACAGTACCATCGAGGGTTAACTAAAACCTGCAGGTCTTAACGAAGATAGTTTGTTATTATACGGAAAGTAGTGAAGATATATATTTATACACAGCCTAAAAAATGTAAGAACCATGTTTGGCTCTCAGCACATCTTCAGTCTCTTCAGTGCCAGATTTGAAGCAGCTCCAGGTGTGTTGAGGGTGCTGGTGGGGGGTGCGTTGGGGGTTAAGTGCCAAGTTCAAGGGCCAAATGTTGTTGTCGTTGTAATGAGGGCGGGGGGAGGGCAACACATGTTCACTTCTCCCATCCAAGTTCCCCCGAGTCATCTGGGGATTTCCTCCTCGTTCTGCTCGTGACTTTGACTCTCTAACCTTCACAAATCCAGACACTTTGTTCTAGACATCATTTAAAGGTACAGCACGACTCTCTGTGAACGGTTAAGCTTAAATATTAGTCCGTCTATTAAAGATGACTGATATCCTCACGAGGCTGCACGCTGAAAACACACACCTTTATGTCATGTCAGGTCCAGTGTTTGTTTTCATGTCATATAATGACAAAGGGGAAAAGTACCATGGAGGAGACCCTGCGGACGCTTCTAATTTCTCCACTGAGATTTCAGCACACCTAGCATCCATCCCAGAGACCCCCAGAGGGAGGGCGGTTATCGGAGGGATCAGCTGTTTACAGAAAGCTATAACACACCACATCATCCACTGGTTTTCTTCGATGATCAACATACTTTGAATACTCTTTTTATCTGTGACATATCAGCAGACAGATTTGAATAAATGTATTTATGTAGGATGACATCATCAGGGGGCGTGTCCAGACTTACTGGCTTTATGCAGGGTCAAAAAGCCAATCTTGGTTCAGGATTATGGTAGTGTTGTCGTACTCGAGACCGGTCTTGTCTCGGTCTCAGACTGGGCGGATTCTGGATTTTAAATCAAGACCACCACTGATCGGCTATGTTTCCATGTCATTACTGGGATAAGAAGGAAAACACCTCTTTTCAAAAGAACAAATAACTTCAATTAATTCATAGTTTAATTTTTATCCCCCGGTTACGGCCGCAACCTTCCCGGTGTTACAGTCTAAGAGAGTGACACGCCCCCTAAACACAAGATGAGGATTTTTCTGTGATATTGATATATTGATATATGGTCTTGGTCTTGTCAAGATCAAGTTTAAAATTCCCAAATCATCAAAATATCAAAACATTCAAAGGATCCAAGTAGCACACATCTAATACGCTCTGCCTGCTGACTTTTGTTGTTGCTGCTCTGTTCAGTTTGACATCTTTGTTATAACAACAACAGAGAGGAGAAGAACACACCGGCAGAGAGAAAACACAAGGAAGACGTTTCCACCAATTGGGCGCTGCACAGTCTGTGGCAGAGTGGCCAGCAAGGGATATAAACGTCATCAACCTCCTCTAAATCACTCGGGGTGAATTTTCCTCAATATTTTCCTGCTCCATTCTCACATCGGCTAACTCTACTACAGAGGGAGGCAGGAAGAATTCTAGTGTATTCACAATGAAAAGGTCAGCTGTTGCAGCTCACCACAACAAAAACTTCTAGGATTCTTTCAGGATTTTTTGTGCACGTGTGAAAGCCCCAAAAGAGACAGGGTTTCATTTTGTTTCAAAAAAGTGTGCAATCGGACTGATCTTACACTGTGACTGTCTGCAATAAAAACTCACTCCTGGCCTGTGTGGACAAGCATTTGTGAGGAGCAGGTAGGCTGCATAGCTGAGGCAGGTCCATGCCTGCTGTTTCCAGATTGTATCAGTGGTGAGGAGAGAACAGCAGTGAGCACCCTGAACCCAGTGGCGACCTTAATTACCGTCCTGGGGTCCGCCTCTGGGTGAAATAACAGATGAAACAAACTGTGCATTAGTAACAACACATTGCCTGTAAGCTGTCAGGGAAAAAGGGCGGTCTGATTTAATGCGCCTGTCATGGCTGCTTGTGCTTCATCGACAGCTTACATAAATGATGATATCCCTGTTGTTTGACTCCACTGATACACAGTCAGCAAATGACTGCACAGCTCACAAATGGAAAAGTGAACCTTCTGTATTAACGGTCATATCATGCAAATAGGCGGCGCTCACCGTGGCTCTCACCGTCTCTGGTGTGCACTGCGATCCCCGCTGCAACATCCATAACGAGCACGCCGTCTCTTTTATAGGATCTCTCTCTGGGATCCATGTGTACGCCCACAGCCATTCATTTTGAACAAGTGTCACTTTTCTAATAGCTTGCTTGCTTTGTTACAAACGCTGTGACTTCCCTGTTGGGAATTAAAGAACATTCATTAGATTAATTCACCGTTAATGGTGATAATGGAAGTGAAGCAGCGTGATGTTGCTGTTTCTGATTCATGCTTCAATCTCATTTATTCGCTAAAAAGACTACAGGGATTTGAGCGACATGCACAGTGTGTAGTCATCAGCCAGGATCCCACATGGGGAAATGTAACTCTGCAGCAGGAGGCTGCTCCCTGCTTGGCTTTTCTTTGCATCTAAATGGTTTATTTTAATGCGCATGTAACGGAGGGGGTGTCGAGGCCGATGGAGAGCGTTGAAACACATCCCCGATAAAGCAGCTCATTGCCATTAAAAGTCTTTCATGTAATGGATGTCGCTCAGTCGGTCACCTCGAGGACGCTCTAAATGTTGAGCATCAATTTTCTGCTGCGTGCGGTTTGAAGAGGCCTTTAAAGCGTTGGCTTGTTGTTTACATCCAGCAGTACACGTTCAAGTGTTTGTTTCTGTCCCAAGTGTTCACTGGAATCGACAAGCAAATGTGCGCCGTGTGGGACTGAACGCCATGCAGAGAAAGATGTGAATATAACAGAGCAGAGATGTGACTAATGCAGTCAAGATGGTTTTATATATGTGCTTTCAGGGTATCTAACTTCCAGGTAGTGAGGAGTCTTTAATAATAATGCCCAGTCAATGAGAGCATGCTGATTGGTGGAGGTATGCAGGCGGGCTGCAGAGGTAAATATTTAGCATTCCTCAGATGACTCCAGCAGTTTTTGTGTACATGTGTGAACCTGCAGATGTGGATGTGCATTTTTTGGAGTAAAAAGTAGTTTCCTGTTGTTTTCCCTGGCAGGACGGTTTGCAGAGAAATGATTGGATTTTTTTTTCCTTTTCCCCGACAAACACAGGCACACATACACAGAGAAGATAAAATGACTCAGATGATCAGAATGTGTCTTCAGTTCAGGAAGGCCTCGATGGCTTTCCTCACCAGGCGTGGGATGGGATAGGAGCTCTGATTCACAGACTGATTTCATTTCATACCCAGTTTTCTGGGAGCTTTACATATACGGACCAAACGTTGCAATACCACCAGAAATCTGTGTCGAGCTGTGAAGTGATCAGCAAGTCAGACCAGCAAAACACAACAAAGAAGAAAACTTTGAAAAACTTCAAGTTTTTTGAGGACCTACAAACATATATATGTTGTTAAATCGCCCGGGCATAGGGACAGACGACTACAACAGAACAGCTGGACGGAGATCGGATGGGAACTGAATGTCAGTCATGCCGACGTCAGACTACACGACCTTTATGTCTGTTTCGGTGGTCACTAAGGCGATCACAGAGCAATAAAATCATGCCATGACTTCACCGACAGACTTGACAGACTGCTGTACACGTATCTTTTCTAAAATAAGAAATATGAAAAAAGGGAGAAGCTTTCTATTCATGATGTGACTGAATCTGAATCTGAAACATATCTGCAGGAATAATTTGTGTCTCATTTCCCGGGTTAAGATATCAACACTCACAGCTAATTATCCATTCAAGAGTATTTCCAGAGCAGAGGCAGAGGAGTGGGATTGAGATTATGTTTGTTAGCCGGGGGTCAGGACTGCAGCCTTTGATCCGCCTGAACAACGAGAATGTACGAGAAGAAAACACAGAACAGCCATACGTGCCACTCAATGCAATGCAAACAAGGAGGCTATTGTTGCAGAGGTCATCGCGGAGCTACGAGTGGGCAGCTTTTTTTCTTGACCTGGGAGGAATGATTATTCATTTTCTCCTGGTGATGGACCGAAGAGGGTTAAACATTCAACGTAAAAGATTTTTCTGTGTCCTCAGGCGACAGCTCAGTGTGCCAGGATGAAGTGTCACTTCCGCTGCGTGTTTTCAAACGAGGGCATCGAGGCAGAGGGGTTGAGATGTGCACATCTTGTTTTTAACTGATGCTCTTCTGATCTTCATATTCCATCTGTTATGCAAGTTTCTAAAGACTGAATTGGCTTCATATTTAGTCGCCTTTTTGATTCTTCAAATGTTTAGTTTTAGGATGAGTTCTTTTCTAATATTTCTTTGCAACAGTCAAAGTATTTTGCAATCCTCAAAAAGCCTGTATTGCAGTTTCTCTTTGAGCCTTACACAACCCCCTCTGAATCGTCATTGCTCAACTCCACTGCCCCGCTATGATACCTCAAAGGGGGAAGCGAAAGACGCGGCAGTTGGCTGCGCTGCGGGGAGTCGGCAGCAGAGGCCCACAGCTCGTGTCTGTCCCTCCTGTGAGTGACACTGCTCCCTCTCGCTGTCTGTTTCTCTCTGACTTCAACAGGCTTCAAATCAAAGTATAGGCCAGTGTGTGTGGGGAGGGAAAGTCCACTGCCTCGAGATTTAAATTGAGCAACTCCCAGCGTGTGCAAACTGTGCGAGTGTGAGCTCTACATCTGTGCATGTCACTGTACTTGTTCCAGCATGACTGTGAGCGTACATGCATGACTCCAAGGGCCGCGCTCGAGATGGGGAAGTGCAGAGAAGTCGTATAATTTGTTCCAACCACCCCCCCCCCCCTCTCAGTGTGTCTCTCCTTTATGCCAACTTTAAACACTCTTAATTTTTTCCAGGAACAGAAAAAGGAGGAACAACCTTTATCGAGGCCCCGGTTGTTTTTATTTTTTATTTTTTTTATGACACATTATCACCAAAGAAGCGTCTTACCTGTGTGAGTGTGTGTGCTGCTGAGTCCCCTCTCCCTCCTGGTCTGTGTCAGATAAGTCTCTTCTCTCTCCCTCTGCTCTGCCTCAGGTTGACAGCTCGGACCTGGTCGATTTAATGAGATCCCTTCATCTTCACCACGAGCAGAAACAAAAACCTCAAAAATGAAAAACAGCCCTCCTGCTGCGCCTCTGTCACCCTGTCTTAAGAAAATGTTGAGTTGCACTTCCTTGAGGAACTAAATTGTTATGACACACCCCTCAGCTGTGAGTGTGTCTCTCTCTCTTTCTCTCTCTCTCTCTCTCTCTCTCTCTCTCTCTCTCTCTCTCTCTTGTGTTTCCCTCTGAAATTCAAACTCTTCAAACTCGCTCTCTAGCCTTCTCTGATCACACCTTGGCTCTCTCTCTCTGAATCCGTCCGTCCCTCTCTTCCTGCTCTGGTCTGTGACTCTGCTGACGTTGTGCCTCTGCTTGTTCTGACAAGTGAAAACCCCACAAAGAATTTAGCAATAATCCAGTGATGCAGCCGCTTGAAAAGGGAGTGGCTTAAACCCCTTTTTGTGTTCACCTTCACTGGAATGCGGCTCCTGTCAGAGCTGCCGAGCTCCGGGTCTCTCCCCGTGTGTCTCTTGTTCAAGGTACAATCACAACAATGGCTCAGTCATGAGCGTGTCGCACTCTGACACATGTGCACGTGCACTGAAACTGAACACCGACATTTTGAACTCCTGATTTAAAGGTTCATGGATAAAATGCAGCTGCAGCAAACTTTCACTCTTCTTTTTTTATCCATTCTTGTCGATGACAGCAAATAAGTTTTGTCTCTCCGATTCAAGATTTCTAGTCGATCTTTTATTTGGGATGCGATCTGATAAGTTGTGCTGCTAACATGAGCCAAAGAATTCCTCTGGAACAGCTGCATGACATGTGCAAAAGTCATGAATACAACAAGCTACCTTCTTGGCTGTAGTATCTCTTTGGCACATGTTTGATCAGCTCCCTGAGAGGGAGGATGTGTAGCATGTGTTGAACTGCTGCTGTTGTTGTGTTGCTCTCTATCAAGCAACAGTTTCCAGCAACGTGAACGCCCTGGAGAGAAAAGTGGGAGAAATGCATGTGTTTACCTGGTTTCCCATCTGCTATTTAAATTCAAAGAAGAAGATCTTTGGCTTCACGCAATGATGTCAGAGCGAGGGCGTGTGAAATGATGCATCCAGGAAGTAATCAGCTTCAGGTATTTAAATCAGCGGTCCTCAACCGGTGGGTTGGGACTCTAAAGTGGGTCACTGAGCTGTTTTCAAATGTGTGCCTGGAAAGGTGAAGTGCAGGATGAACAGATTTGTAGGGTTCTCCTCAACAGCATCATTTAAATCCTCCCGCTTGATGTGTGTTTTTCAGTTTTTCGATTCACTGGTCCCTGTAAAGCAGATCGCCCCTCAGGGATTGACCTTAACCTTGAAAAAAAATGTGTCAGAAAGTATGTGAAGCGCTTTTCACACAAGTTTGTTTCGATCTGTGTCTTTATTCTGTCTCATTTTTAAACCGCTTCAGGTCCAAATTGCTCAATCTTTCCTTAAATAAATCTGATTGGCTGAAAAATATTAGATATTTTGGTCGTGATTGATGAAGGAGTTGGTGGATTAGTTGAAAATGTTTGATTTAAGGGGCGCCTGTGGCCAAGTGGTTAGTCTGTGCGCCCCATGTACTGAGGTTGAAGTCCTCGAAGCGGACGGCCCGGGTTCAAGTCTGACCCGTAGCTCCTTTCTGCCATGTCATTCACCCCCCCCGTACAGTGTGTGTCGATCGAGACATGAGCTAATCAGACCTATTTGGATTTTTGAACCAGGCTGTAAACATGTTAATCTCTGCTGTAAAAACAGGATTTTTTTAGAATGGGTGTGTATGTGACTTCCTGTGCTTCTGCAGCCAGCCTCTAGTGGACACTTGAGGAACTGCAGGAATTTTTGCACTTCAGCATCTGCTTTATTTTTCAACCTCGGAGGTTGTCGCTTGATTCTTCCAGGGGAGGCTCTTTTGAAACGTTTGTTCTAAACTATCCTTCATGTTAGTACAGCTCAGAGTCTCTCAGTGTGTGCAATCAGACACTCATCTCAGTTTCTGACCTCATACTCTGTCGTCCTTTTGCATTAAGGACGACATTAAGGATGCATCGTTTGTTTGCCTCAAAGGTCTTTTAATTTTTAAGTGAGCTTTCATGTTTCAAATTTTTCTGAAATGAAAAGTAAACTCACATTAAACGTGTGTGGCTATGTGGCTCATCCACATCGTAAACATGTAAAGAGGCACACTTTGCCCCTTGTAAATAATGAACTTTGGTAAAGAATAAATAAACGTTTAGAAAGACGTTTCCCTCCCGAGAGAGAGGTTAACACTCGACATCATAATCTCAGCGAGGGCTAATAAAATCTGAAGGTCAGAATCACGCTCATGAACGACGCTTTGTTTGAGTTGGATGTCGTAAAATCATCTTCTTTTAGCGGCTCATTCAAATGAGTGAGATGTAAATACAGAAGAGATAAAAAAAACGAGTCTCTGAAACGGAGCCATCAGTCCTCGCAGCCGCAGCGACCACGTCTGCAGGACTCATGAATTCAGCGATTCATTTGAGAATCAGGAAGTGTCCCCTGACTCTGAAGCTGTTTGTTTATCTGTAGGTTTTATCTGAATGGCGACCAGCTGTGCTGAAGGCTGCTGGCCGGCGCTAACGCCATTCATGAAAGAACCCGTCCAATCCACTCTCTCAGACATTAATTGCTGCCAGATGTTGGAGGTTAAAGGTGGCGTGCAGAGACCCAGCAGCTGGACTGAGAGGAGTTCCCCCGGACAGGATACAGGGCCCACCAGTGTGCGGTTTACGCCAAAAACACACCTGCCCCTTTGTTGTGCCACCCACCCGCGGCCCTTCTGCAAGAAATTAACTCCGAGTAAAGTCACGGTATAAACTTCTTGCAACTGCAGAGTGAGGTCTGTCACCGTGGCAACAGACAGGAAGTAGTACTTAAGCGGTTTCCTGATGGCTTCCTCTTTATCGTGTAATGACATCTCAAGGAAACATCAGCACAGGGAGCGCTCAGCTCACTATCTGTGTGTGTGTGTGTGTGTGTGTGTGTGTGTGTGTGTGTGTGTGTGTGTGTGTGTGTGTGTGTGTGTGTCTGTGTGTGTGTGTGTGTGTGTGTGTGTGTGTGTGTGTGTGTGTGTGTGTGTGTGTGTGTGTGTGTGTGTGTGTGTGTGTGTGTGTGTGTGTGTGTGTGTGTGTGTGTGTGTGTGTGTATGTGTGTGTGTGCTTTTAGAGTGTAGTTTGTGAGAAAGGCGTGCCTGTCACACCTCTGTACCGTACACAGCTTACACACTTGCCTCTTCTTGGTTAGGAGATAATAAGATCACTTCAATTATGTTTCATTATAAGATCACACACACACACACACACACACACACACACACACACACACACACACACACACTTACACTAACTCACATAATAGCAGTGTGTTATCACCAGGTGACTCAGACAGGAATAACTGACCTCATAACCGCTGAGGTCAGAGAATTGCGCCTGAAGATTTGGATCCTGATTGGATGGAGGATTTGGTGAACTGTCTTTCTCTCTTATTAGCGACATACGACGGACGGTGAGAACGGATCGAGGTGAACAGATGTCGGTTCAGGGGAGGCCGGAGATTTGATTTGATCATTCTGCAGCTTTACAGGGATTCACTTTCTCCTCACGGCACGATCAAACACAAGACCCATGTCATGTCGTTTGTTTTTAAAGACGTAGAGGACCTGAGAGTAAATCGCTCCTGTTCCCATCATTTATATGTTAAAGGTTATAAACATCTTGCTTATAACCTGCTCGCTTGTGGTGAATTTATTCTGAATATTTCCTGCTGCGTTCTCGCATCGGCTCACCCTGACTTAATTTGGAAAATGTACTCGAAGCCTGGCAGGAAAAATTCTGTGTGGCTGTTTGGATTCACACATGCAGCTTACCCCAAAACGTTTTCAGGAGTTGTGAGGTGCAGGTGTGAAAGTATGAAAGTGAAGTTTTTGTATAAAACGCAAGCAGCAACCCCCGGTGGTGAAAAATGAAGCGTGTAAAATCCAACAGTTCCTCGAGTGTCCACTAGAGGCTGGCTGCAGAAGCACAGGAAGTCACATACACACCCATTCTAAAAAGCCTGTTTTTACAGCAGAGATTAACATGTTTACAGCCTGGTTCAAAAAACCAAACAGGTCTGATTAGCTCATGTCTCGATTGACACACACTGTACGGGGGGTTGAATGTTTTGATGACTCATCAGTTTTGATTTGATGAAGGATAAGAGTTATTCACAATAAGGCGTGTAGCTGACCTGATTGACAGGCGGGTGCGGTGTAACGGTTTGTCAGGAGGACAGGACTCCAGCGCCCCCTGCTGTAAACATGGATGCAGCATTGAAGGCGGAACCCCGTTCGTTCCTATGAAAGTTGCTTTGTGGCTCATGAAGCAAAAAGGTCTAAAAAGTACCCAGATCTTCTGCGTTACTGACCCATGGAGAAAGCTCACTTGGAGTCTCCTTCCTGTGGATCTGATCTGCGTTCATCATGTCGACAAAAATATCTCTGAACTTGGCTTTTTTTGCATTTTTACAACATTAAGGACATAATGATTTTAAAAAGGGTTGTTTAAGTTTTGGTATCGGGAAACTGATGTACCTCAAAGATAAACATATCGGCTGATTTATAGACGTCTCTTTTTAAAGTAAGCTCATTAAATAAAGTCTTTCTGGGCCTAATGGCATCAAGGGACGCTGCAGTACCAGGCATGGCAACCAGGTAAAATTGGCTTCACGGTCGGAGCACTTCCTGGGGGTCTTGGCGGTATAACAGACGTTACTCGGGCCTCTTGATGATAGTTTGCTCCAGACACAGGCAACAAAGACGGATCAGTCAATCCTGGATACTTCAGAAACCAGGACGTCAGACATGTTTGAGTGTGCGAGTGAAGAAACTGAGAACAGGACAGTTTGAGTGGCTGTACATACACTTTTATAAAAACACTATCATACAGTGAACAAATGCAGTCAGTCACATACAGGATGAAGAAGAACTCTGTGACACGATGCTGAAGATGTCTACCCTACATTCTACTTCACAAACATACTTTAAAATACAAACTCAATGATGTGACTGAAACAACACATCCATACTGTCACTTTTCAGGTTACCGTCAAAACTCTTTTGAGATTCTGGTAGCAGTGACGTCATGAAGCGGCTTCAGGTCTGCAGAATAATTCAGCAAATCGAGACGGAATATCAGGAAATCAAATGCACTTTCATGTCTCGTTTCACCTGATGTCCTAGTTTTTAAGTTCTCTGTTTCTGTGTGTGTTATCTGTATGCAGAGGATGTGGCACTTCCTTTTTTTACCAACAGTTGACATGAGGGAGGCCATGTTGTGAAACCTGCCAATTGAACAGGAAGATGCTTTTGAAATACGACTGACTGTGTGAGGCCGCTCAGTTACTGACAGGAATGAATGAAACAAAGGGGACAACATGCCGAGGCTCTCCAGATGATGTTATTTAAAGAAAACTTGAAGTGTGCAAAGGGTTAACAGCATCCAAGAGTCTGATGTTTTGAAGCATGAAGGCCACGTTTACACGACAACGATTTCACCCGATTTAGATGACGGCAGCGTTCCTGGTGCCTGAAAATTAAACGTTTTAGAAAAGGTCATCATCTCTGTCGCTGTGAAAACTACAAATAAGATGTTCCTCCAAAAACGGAGACTTTGCCCACATGAGCTTCACGCTTCCAGTCAATAGCTTTTGTGCTGTCTCTCCAGGCGGCCACTCTTTGCTGTGTCCTTGTCTCTCTCTATTGCAAATGTTTTCCAATGTGGGTTTTATGCTACACATGGCAATAAACTGAACTGAACTGAAACTCATTGAAAATAATTGAAAAAACTCTAGATGGATCCGATGCCTTATGTGGAACCGTGCTCGGCGGTTGCTTTCAAAACGTTTGTCATCGTGAACGCGGAAGATGGAAAAACGCTTTTCAGTGTTTGGTTTTCGTGTGAACGTGGCCTAAATGTTGCTCAAACTTGACCTTAAAACAAGATTATTTCTCTTTGAGATGTTTGAGTCTTCATTTATTTAAAACTTGATATTCAAAATGTGTTCAAATGTAAACAGTCAGTAACCATACATGTTGAAAACCCTGACTTTGATTAACCCTCGGTGATATTTTTTCAGCATTATGTCGTCGTTAACCACCTGCTCACAGAATGGCACAGGCGGCGCTGCGCATGGGCAGGTTGGCGGGCAGCTTGACGTACTGCTGCCTGAAGCTGTTTCTCTTGCTGCTGAGGAAAGGAGCCGGGTTCTCCAGCCCATCGTCGGGGTTGGGGGTCTCCGACAGTAAGGTTCCCTGGGGCACTTCCAACTTGGCGCCCTTGTTGTTCTTAGTCTTTTTGACCTTCTCCTTCTCCGGAGGCTCGGCTGAAACGGAGGGGGGCTCGATGACGGCCTCTGGCGGGGGCAGGGTGTCCAGCGGGAGGTCGCTGGGGCTCGCCTTCCCCTCGGCTTGCTCCTCGTTGCCGGAGATGTTGAGGTTGGAGGCCATGCGTTTGGCGTTGGAGCTTGTGGAACTATTGCAGTTAGACATTAGTAGAGTTTTGTCAGCGATTCACAACAAACACAACAAAGACATTTCAGTCTTACTTCCATTCATCTGTTCCTGGAGGGACATTATCCCACTAATCAGTCATTAAATCAAACATTTCTGCAATGACAAGAAGGAAAACACTGCACAAACTCAACTTGGGGTAAAAGTGTCTTGCCCAAGGACACATTGAACATGTGGCTGCAGTAGCTGGGAATCAAACCCCCCCGACTTTCCGTTTGAGAGACGACTGACTCTACCTCTTAGCCACAGCTGCCTGTACTATACTACCAAACTATAGCCTCTGTTCATGGTGCAGGCGCCATAACCGCGAGGCTATGCGACTCCCTGTTATTGCAGAGTGTTAATCGTCCCGATCATATCTTGTTCACTGAAACATAAGTCTCAAAGGCGTGATGTGTCCTCTCCACAGAAATGTTTACTGACTGCTTTGTTGTCTTGTTTGTCTAACTTTTGTGATGCTTCTGTTACCTCAGGGCTTCAAGCCCCGTCTGAGTAAAAAGTTGAGTTTGTGCTGGTCAGCGTGACTCTAGCAGACAAACAAAAGACCCTCAAACAGCCTTTGCTGTCTGCTGCTGCAGGGGGGCAATAAGCAGCGCTCAGGCTGAATCAACAGGGGGGCATCCCGAGTCCTCGCTGTGTGCAGACTTGCTCTCCTTTTGTCTACTCACCCATTAGAGCTCCTGTCCTCGGAGTGGTTCTGCTCGCTGCTGTAGCGCAGCTCCGCCGGGGTTTTGAACGACAGATCTTTCTTTCCTTTGAGCCAGTATGTCTTCATGTAGCCTTTACCCTGAGAGATGTTGTTATGTGGTCAAAATGTTGTAGAATAAGAGCATTTAATCCAAGAATAAAGTAGACAGGGACGCTGGAATCAGACACAATCTAAACCATCAGCGAAGATGAAGAAGTTTCACCTCATGTTTACCCCGTGTCATGTGATCCCTTTTTGTGTCCCTTTACTAACTAAGTCTGTTACATGTTCATCACACTTCCTGCAGAGGGATATGACTCACAGCAGGTCGGAGCTTTTCATTTTTGTGCACACATCGTGGAGGCCTGGACGTCATCAAAGAGACGTCAGATCATCCTTTCAGACAGAGCAGATTAACAACATGTCGCCCTGGATTCTGTTCTCTTGTATTTTATTCTTGCTATGACTTCTAAAAAAATGATGACGGTGCACAAATTCAATTCGGCTTGAGACGCACCACCCAGCTCCTCTGCTGGAGTCTCAAATAAAAACTGCTCTCTGTTGATTTACCAATCAGTTCATCTCTGTTTTCTTTAAAGATATATTTTTAACATTGTGAGAGGCTGATTTGCGTTGGGTTATTTTGCACCTTATTTTTGAATATTCATTAGTTTACATACAGGCAAATGGGACAGGTCCACCCAGGACGCTATCTTCATTTGCATTGCAGTTTGTAAACATTTCACCCTGCACAAGCTTTGAGGATTCATGCTAACCTACCCTCTCATATGCACAGGGTAACAGCGTGCAAAAGCAGCGCAATCCTTTTGTGGATCAGGAGTCCTGAGCAATCAAATGAATTACTAAAAGATATATTTGCACAGCAGAAAGTACGACATCATCAACTAGAAAGACTTTACTCAGCACCCCCAACTGAAACTGACATCCAGCTGTCAGGTACAAGTAACTCAAAATGTCCAAAAAAATACAAAAGACTCATCAGGAAGTCTCCAAAGTAGGCATCCAAATCCAAATTTGCTATTTCTTGGATTAATATTATTCAGCTGATTCAGCTGCACAGCAAGCAAACGTTTGCATGTGAAGTTTTTGTCAAAGGAAAGACGTCTGTGCAGAAATATATCAACGCATGCATGGCGGTTTATTCGCTCACCTTTACAAAGATCTTGCCCCTCTCCTCAATGATGTAGGGCTCGTGTTCCAGGTGGTCTTTGGTGGTCTGACTGATGTGGATCTGCATGCCCTGCTCAGACAAACGGACACACACAAAGCTCATGGTAAAGCTGAGTACCGAAGTGCAAGCTTTGGTCCTTAGGAACGAAGACATTTCGCTTCCTGGACTCTCCAGTGAGACAGCTTTTCAAAATACAACATTATATTTAATGCTCTGAGAAATGGGATGCAAATGAAGTGAGGAGCAGCGTGCACACTGCCGTTGTCTTACAGAGAATGATTTTTTTAAACACATCTACATGAATTTCACCGAGAGAAACCATGAGCTGTTTTTACAGGTTTAAACTCCTCCACAGGATCTGCAGCTCAGCTGAATACTTGAAATAATACGGGTTGTTAAATAGGTTAGTGCAGTCACCACTCCGTTGCTCTCCATCCTGGAAGCGGTGTTCACAGTGTCGCCAAACAGACAGTAGCGAGGCATCTTCAGACCCACCACGCCAGCCACCACCATACCGGAGTGAATACCTGCGAGAGGAAGAGCAGATCATAGAACCTGAGAGCTCACGGCTAAGTGTCGCTAAATCCAACACACACTGCTCCTTTTTCTTATTGCTGTTATCTTTTTATTTGCTTTTAGCGCTTTTAGTTTCTTACATCTTTTTAAATCTTGGTCCTCTTGGTGTCATCTTGTGTTGTTGGGTTCTTATAATGGTTCTTGTGATGGTCGGGTTATATATGTCTGATGGGTATCGTGCAATATGGGTTTTTTCTGTTGAATTGTATTTAATTATTTTTAGTATTATGCATTTGTTATGTTCTTGCTGTTGTTAATGTTCTTCTGTGTTTGGTTTAGTTTGCTTTGTTCTTGTTTTTGCTGTTTGTCAAAGCACTTTGTATACCTGTGTTTTTAAAAGGTGCTATATAAATAAAGTTATTATTATTATTATTATTATTATTGTTAAACATTTACTCATCTGAGCTCAGGGACAAACAGTGACCCCTGGTGGCCAAAATAAGTACTTGTTTTGATCTGTGTTGCGAGTCTGACCGCTCAGGTTGCTCCTAAAATCCTACGACTGTATCTGTGGGCCATCCTTTAAAGAGTGGATAAAGAAGTTCAACCTGTAAAGCCTTTAAAGGATCAAGATGCTGAATCCCAACAAGTTCAGAGTCAGTGTGATCGGTGGATGACCTTGAGTCGTGACCTTCAGATAAGTGAGCAAGAAGCCAAACCCCAGAACATAAAAACAATCTGTCATGTCGTGTCTGAGCCACTGAAGCTGCAGACTGCTGGCTCACCGACTCTGATCTGGATGTTATCGCCCGTGGACGGGTCTTTGAGGTGGTCGATGGAGCTCAGCATGTCCAACGCCATGTCACAGATATGGTGGGCGTGAAACGTGGTTTTGTTGGGGACGCCGGCCACCACCATGTAGGCATCGCGGATCGTCTCCACCTGTAACAGAGTGAGCAAAACTTTCTGACTGTTTTCCTATTTATGCTGAGTGAAAGTTTCTCACGACACAGAGACTTAAAGACCTCCCTTCAGCAGAGGTGAAGACATGCCCCTTTATGAGAAAATCAACGATACACAGAGACGTCAGGCTTGTTGGACCGACCTTGTAGACGTTGTGCTTCTCACTGAGTGTGTCAAGACGATGTAGATCTCGTTGAGCATGTCCACCACCTGCATGGGCGTGATGTGGATGCAGATCTCGTTGAATTTGACCACATCGCTGAACAGGATGGTCACATCGGGAAACACCTGAAATACGAAGAAACAGAAAGTTAAGACTATTTTAAAATGAAAACTCAACAACAAGATCGAGGATACATGCAAAGACTTTCATCCCTTTGTTCAGCTTGGTCTCAAGATCACTTTTTGAAGGTCTCGGAATCCAAAGCATTTTCACTCGGTCTTGTCTCGGTCTAAGACTGGGCGTACTCCGGATTTTAAATCAAGACCGGTCAAGACCACCACCGACAGGCTTCTTTCTCATGTCAGGAAAACTCCTAATATGTCACCCTGCCCTGGTCTTGGTCTTGACCCTGTCTCGATCCATAAATGTCTTGGTCTTGACCTGGTCTCGGAGCACTCTGGTCTCAGGTATGTCCTGGTCTTTGTTAGTCTGGTCCTGACTACAACACTACCTCAGAAAGATGAGTCATAGTAGTTTCTCCTCCACCATTGCTATTAACCAAGCTGACACCAGAAGCCCCGGCCCTTCAAAGATTGTGATTGTGATTGGTTGACAGAAAGGACATTGAAAAACTGGAACTGGTTTAATTGCGAGTGCTGTGAGCGCAGCGACTAAAAACAGCTGAGGCTGATAATCAGAAACTCTTTCAAAACTGTGTTTTAAGAACAAATGTCTCGTGGGAACAGTCAGTGAATGAGGCCGAGTGTTTTATAGCCGACCCTGTCTCCATGTGTACTGGGTTTATGGAAGTAAAAACAAGATTTGCACCTCTTAATAAAAGTAGAACCAGAAACATATTTCTCAGATTCCAGGACTCAAAACGAGAAAAAAATCTCTGTCTTCATTTTGGCAGTCGTACATATTTCAGAACCGGCTGCTTTGATATTTGGTGGTTTTGTACCTGGCACGTCTCCAGGGCAGTGATCCCCTTCCTGAGGCGGTCGGCCACAGCTTTAGGAATCATGGCGTACAGCAGAGAATCTCCTCTCTTCTTCTCCTCATCCAGCTTCTTGATGATTTCCATCAGCTGAGCGTATTTCTGTTGCTCCTAGAGGATCAGAAAGTGTGTACAGTTACAGTCTCACCTATTTTTTAAAGTTAAAAAATCCCTCTTTGCTGTCGCTAATCCTCTTAATCCACATCTCTGCTGCATGACTGGAGTGGATTTAATGGGTGAAATCAATACGGGAGCAGGGCTTTCACCTGCGCTCACCTGGTTTGGCTTTTTCATGAGGAGAGAACTGGCAGTTCTTACATTTTGTGTGCTCAGCAGCAACACATTATACGACTTCAGTTTTGGCTTAGGACAGTTTATGAGACCACATAAGGACACCTTTAACTGTCCCCCTGCTCTGAGGTTTTGCACAAAGCTGAACACAGGTCTGCTTTGTCCATAACATGTCTCTGTCTCTGCAGAAACCGAGGACCCTGAGGGGTTTTCTGACCTGATCCAGGGCCAGCTGCAGCTCAGCTGATTGTTGTGTCCCGGCCAGAATCAGCTCTCTGCTGGAGTCGTGCAGATTCAGATCGTTCACGTATACACCCATCTTTATCATGTCCTCCACTGTCTCTATACTGAGATTATAAGAGGAGAAAAAGAAGATTAATGGACTGTGACAGGAAAGAACGCCAATTAATTCTAAATTAGCATAAACTAATCCAATCTCCAAAATTAGATATCACTCGAGGGGGAAGGCGACCAACAATAGAGCTCAGCAGCGGATGCTTAAAAACTCTTCTTCTAAATTAACCCCAACAAACAAAGCCGTGATCTGTTTTGTTTGTGGTCTTACATGGGCGTCCCAAGGAAGATGAGCGAGTCCCATTGGGGGACGTACTTCATCTGGCCCTTCAGGTGGAGAGGTTTCTTTGGAGGCTCCCGCATGTCCTCGAAGATGGTTTCGCTGCACTTTCCTGAGAGGAAGCACGAACGAGATGTTAAAAACAGAGTTATGAAGAACTGCCAGGTGATATTTACAGTTAGGAAATGTTGCTAAAGGAGCGACCCTGGTTACCTAGAAGTCTTCACCTTTTGCACACAAAAATTAAGTATGTAAATAAAAACATTTTCACATATGCACTCAGAAAATGTAAAGAAAATCTCAGGATAATGTCAGGCAGACTGCCCCTAAAATCTTCCTGAGTTGAACGTTTAAGGCCCTGACACACGATCGTCGGCCGTCGATCCAAGTTAGACTGTCGGTGAGCGGTCGTCGCCCTAGTTTTTACAATGTGTCCGGTAGCGTCGCTACCCGTCGGCCCTTTTTTCATGTTGAATCGCCGTCCGTCGGCGTCCAAGCACGAGAAGAAAAGCAAAAGTGAAGAAAGCGAGTAAGCGACTACAGTCAAGAGGAAACTTTTTTTTGATTAGAAGTACTTATATTACGAGTGTTGAGCGACAGCGGTGTGAAAATGGTCTTCTCGTGTCATAACAAGTGTTTATTTATCTGCGTTCTTCCTCGTCCTCTTCCGGTTTCCCCTTTTTGAAATGACTATTACAGACTACCGCCCCCTGCTGGCATGGAGAGGTATTTCCTCTCATGCATGTGCAGAACGTACGTGATGGTTGGCCGTCGGCTGTAGTCTTTGCGGTGTGTTCAAGTTCAGCTTTTTGGCCAAGACAAAATAGTTGCAACTAGTTCGTCTGCTTGGTGTGTCAGGGCGCTAACAGCGGGAGACTGTCCATGTTGGACGTGAGGGAGGTAAGAGGAGGCATTAAAGAACGATGAGGGAGTGGTGAATGACATAACAAGAGTCTGATGCTTTAGATCATATCAATTCAATGTGTGTCTACAAAACAGAGGGAGAACTTACTGGTGATCAAAAAACATAATGAAGCCGTTTCATGAAGTAAACTAAGATCCCATCCCGATTGGGTCGCAGGATAGAAACTTCACTACTTCCTGAATATTTCCTGCTGCGTTCTAACAGCAGCCCTCCAGACTTCATGCAGAAAATTAGCGAAAACTTCTCTTTGTTTCTCAGCTCACCCTGAAAGTTTCAGGAGTTTTGTGCAGGTGTGAATGAACATTAGCTGTCACTCTACAGGAGGTCGTTGTTTAAACTCAAAAGCAGCCACAGGACAGAAAAAAAAAAAAAGAGACAAAGTGTGAAATGCTCTGACCGGTGACAGTCTGGAACGCCAGCAGTTCGATATCTTCCCCTCCAGAGTTGGCGGAGCTGTTGTATTGAGTGAGAGCGCTGTTGTACTCCTGGTCTGTGCCCTTCATCTCCTCCACATCGTTTTGCTCTGACGGGAGGGAGAGCGACAGAGACACAGAAAAAGACGGATGGATCGATCAGGCTGTGAGTCAGGAAGGTTGGTTAATGAGGAGCAAACGCAGAAAAATCCACTCACACAGCGAAGAGAAAAACAGGAAGGCAGAGAAAATATCTGACAAATGTGTCACTATGTGAGACGTTCACTTGCAATATGAGTGCACCAATTTAATCCACTTGTTTAAGATGGCGATTTTAGACCCAATTTGCCAATTGGGGGGGCGGGGTGCTTGTCCAGATTCAAGGCTTGTTGCAGCCAATCATTTGTCCAAATAATCCCGAAGTGTAAAGTGGCAATACGATTAATTTACTGCTCCCGATTGAGTTGGAGCCTCCCTGATCTCGGATCGAAATCAAATTGCTGCCTCCGACATAATAACCAATGAGAGCGAGCAGACCAGGAAGCGTCACCAACCGGATGTTGAGTCACGTTGCGGCGACCCACAAACATGGCAGCGAACATAAACACACAAGTAGATTTTTGAATTAGAAGAAGAAAAGCAGCTTGTGGAGTCTCCAGTTGTAGGTGGTAATGAGTCAGAGCGGCCGTGTTAGATGGTTAAATATTGCGTTTGTGCCGGTTGCACTAAATAGCTCTTAACGGGGACATCGAGTGCACTGTTTCCCGAAACAGGAAAAGGAAACTGAGCCAGCTTTCATGCCTGGCTGCGTTTCAAAATCAGTTACCATCTGGTGTGTAGCCCGCCTTAGGGATGCAGTGAATGTAGCTTTAGTTTTTAAGAGAGGAATAGCGGCTTGACATTTCGACCTGTTTAATATTCGCGTCACCTGGATGTGATATGAATATTTTACGCCGCTCGGTCCAGATGACCTTGGCCAGAGATGAGGGAGGGACTTGACGGACACTTTGGTGATCCCGTCCATTTGCAATGAACCGTTCTTTATCCATAATGCATTGGGTGATAAAATAATGATAAGGATGGAAATACCTCTTTCTTCTTCTCTCTTCACCTTCTCGCTCTCTTCCTTCTCGTCCGGCTCCTCCTTGCTCAGTTTGATGTTGACCTTCTGCTTGCTCTCCACCACCGCTCTCGACAGCAGCTCAAACACGTTGTTCAGATGGAAGTAGATCTGACAAGAAAGATCGCTCCAGCTTAGAGAGTCTGCAGGACGGGAATGTTAAGAAGCGTCTGAAAACTGAATATTCAAAAACTCACATTGTCCCAGCTGAACTCCAGCATGGGTCGGATCAGGGTGAACTCCTCGTTGACCTTCTTGCCCTGGAGGTCGGAGAAGACCTCTTTGAGGCCGTCGCCGATGCGGTACATGGTCATGTCGCGGCGGAAGATGACGCTGAAGGGGAACATGTCGAAAAAGATCCCTCGCTTCATCGGCAGCTTCTCGTAGCCCGGCGCCGTCTTCTGCTGAGGCATGCGGTGTTTAAAAGCAGCGTTGTCGAAGTTCATCTTGTAAACCTGGAAGAGAAGGGAACACTTCAATTCAATCTTTGGAATATAAGTATGTAACAAAAAACACAGTTTGACATGTTTCTGATAAATCTGTCCCGTGTACATTTTGTAATTAAAGTTTCTTTTATTTTTTACTATCATATTTTACTTCCCCCTCCTTATTTTATAAATGTGTATATATGTGCATGAGTATATATACAGTATATATATATATTTTTTGGTAAGTCCGTGTTCGCCCCATGTATGGAAGCTGTAGTCTTCCAAGCGGGCGCCCAGGTTCAAATCCGAAGAAAAAAAAAATATATATATATTTTTTTAATTTTCAGGAGAGTGTCCAGACTCACACCAGACAAATGCCCACCGGCTGCGTTTGCGAGACAAAGGAATTCCCGCCGTAATTTTACAGATTCTCTTGCAACAGCGCTAGATAATACGATGTATGTGGTATAAAACTCTATATAAACTGTTATAAACACATAAACAAACACACATACGCTCATTGTTCTGAACTGTCAAAACCAAGTGTTTTATTCTGAAAATAAACTTCCCGTCCCGCTCGATCTGCTCTGTGGTTAATTGATGCTCCGTGCTCCGACATCCTGCAGAAATAGAAGCCCTGCATATCTGCTGCAGAGGACTGACAGAGCTGAGACGCAATGCATGCAGAGCTAGTGGAAGCACACACACTGAATAAAGTAAAAAGCTATCAGCTCTGCGAATGTGCCAAAGCGGAGACGGACCGAATTGGCATCTTTTGGAATTTAGGGGTAACACATCGACTGCTGGCAACCTGTATATGTTCTACGCTTAGATGTACGTCCGTCCAAAGTCAAAGTATTTTAAAAACTGCAAACAAGCTTCCTGTTGCAACAAAGCCTGAATGATGGATTTCCACAAAGGTCCCCCCTCTGGCAAGGCAAATGGCCAATCAGAGGGAAGAGATTTTGAGGTGGCATCTGGGGTGGCCAATAAGATTTCAAGGGGGCGGGGGGGGGGCCATGCCACCCCTCTGCACACGCTCCTGCTTCTTATTGATGATGAGTGAAGACATGAAGACAAACCAATTTGTCCACCAAAAACAACACAAACTAAAAGTTCCTCACAGGTCAAAGGTCACATTTGTCTTCTGAGTTTTGCTCTCACCCTGAACCCTTTCCACTACAGGGTTGGTTATTATTTTCTCTTGTGAATACGAGACGCTTCCTTTAAGTTTGATTCGAGACAGATGGTCACAGTCATACAAGGTCAAACATTTTTCCGGGTGTTTCTGCTGCTAAGAGTCAGATCCCATCACACTTATCTCCATCCAATAACCACTTGCCGCCTTAGAGTAAACAAAACTCTTCTCGGTATCTCACAAGACGATGATGGAATCATTTCTGTGCTGATGGAGCCGACACGGGGGTCAAGGTCAGACGCCCGTGTCGGCTCCACTGACACTTGACTTAAGCCCCCCGGTACGTACCACATAAGTCATCTTCTCCGTTTCTTCTTTCGACAGGATTTCCACCTCGATATCCGTGTTGTAGAATTGCCGTCCCACTTGAGAGAGCTGCCCTGCAGGAGTCACACACACACACACACGCCGGTCATGGATGTGTGGAGGTCAACTTTGGTTTATGAAGGACTCAGTGAAAAAGTGGGATTGTGTGAGCTTCAGTTCAGAGCAAAGTGGAAAGTTAAATAGAGTTTATATTGAATACATGACTTTGTCTGTGGACTTCAGATTCCAGCAGCAGGTAACACCAAAGGATAGAACAGCACACAGATACAAAAAATAAAATAAAAAAACACAAGTTATATACAAATTATATACTGTACACAGTAGCAGCAATAGACATGTCGAAATAAAATATACCGGTACAGATTTATACGAAATAATACTTAACTTAAAAAAATAATACCCGACTTAAACAAACACTGTACGATTTCAGGCCGACTTAGACCCCGCTCTTGAGCCGTAGCCTACAACTCATTTTAAAGTCGGGCCTAATTTCAGCCCGATCGCCCGGCGTCAGGCGTGCAAGGTACCGGGTCGCTAACAGCTAGCTACAATTAGCTTTACCATCAATAACATATCGTCAACTCTTCCCGCTCATCTTCCACTGTGTTTGTTTACTCTTAAATAACGTTTGTCAGCGCAAGATGACGGGTTTTGAGAGTGGAGTGGTTGCTGAATGACTCTGTCAGTGTGTGGTGTTGCTCATCTTATTGCTCTCCAAACACTATTCAATCTAAAACGATTAGTCGCCATGTGTGGGCTCTGGCTTTGAGCGAGGCTTGAGTGTAGTTTCATCATTTTTGTTCAAGTTGATTTTCTGATTTGGTCAGTGTAAACTCTTCCAGCCCCAGCTGTTGAAAACATATTTAGTCTTAGAGTGTTAGATGTTTGTGAATGTGTAGTCATGTGACAGAGCAGAATGACGCCCTCTGAGCTGTCACTGTTGTCCTGGTCGTCTGATTGGTGCCGTCCACGGTGTTGATGCCACTGTCATGATGGGGACACGCTGCGCTGTCGGGTGCAGCCGCCGGTCAGAGGTGTCATGATGCTGTCATAATTAAATAATTTCAAGTCTGAAATTACTCCTGAGTTTCTCGTTACCTTTGACAAACTGGGTGAAACCTTTGCGGGTGCTGCGGTAGTGCAGCGTGAGGCTCGTCTCGCACTCCTCCTCCACGCAGAAGCTTGGCGGCTGCACTTTGGGGAAGGAGAAGCGGAAGTACTCGTGCAGGTTGTCCAGCTCGTTGATGAAGTCGCGCACATTTCGTCCCAACACCTGGAGAAGAACGACAGTGAGTACGATAAGATCAACCTGTGTTCATCCCACGACGGGGAAATGTTCCGTGTTTACAGCAGCAAAAAGAAAAAGTGTGCACACCCAAATAAAGGGTTAAAGAACAGTCTTTGCACATTCAAGGAAATAAAAAAACTTCCGAGCACACAGAAGCAGCAGAGCATGTCGTTGCAGCTCGTGAGTTCCTCGTATCGTTGCACATCACTGTCAGAAGATTACAGGAGGAAGCTTCCAGATTTTTTAAATCATGAATCATTCAGAATTTTAAAGAATTTCAAAATATTTATTCACTTCAAAGGATCAATCAGTGAGATGTGTAGTGAGTGAAATGATAAAGTGAGCTTACTATATGATCAGACATTAAGGAAACATGCTATGTTGAAGTGCTGGCTTCTCTGACAACAATGCAGCAGCCAGTATGTCCTCCTTCTAACTTTAGATTCTGGTCCTGAATGCTCTGGATTTGTTTGGACCAGAGAAGGTAGGCGGTTTTAAGGCACCCCCACATGGCCGTTTTGGACACCCCTCGGTTTGCCAGATATGAGAGCAGTTATCAGGTCAAACCAACAGGTGTTGCAGCGATGGAAGCGGGCAAGAGAACTGGTTCAGATAGAAGTGATTGTACCCGACCTAAAAAGCCTCTGCATGTTTCTAATAAGCTCCACGAGCAGAAACGTGCTCAAACTAGGATCAATATTGGAGATGCTTTTGAAAAATGGAGAGAGGTTAGAACACAGTAAGGTTTACAGACCGATGCAGAGCTGGATAAACACTGAAGCTTCAGTGTCCACCACATGACAACCTGTGTGTGCATCGACTCTAGAGAGGAGGGGGGGGGCTTTTATTGTGTTTTTAACTCTTTTAAGTTAAGGCAAGTTCATAACCCTTCATGACAAAGGGCAGAAAAACACGTTAAAAGAGGACATTCCTATTTGGATAAAAACCTGCCTTTTTGTTTTTTTTAAGGAAATAAGAAAAGCCTGATTGATCGACCTCACCAACACTAACACTAACACTGACAAAGGAACTACCAACACTAACACTACTTATGGGGGTCACTGTTTCACCTTTAGGATGCGTTCATATCCGTAGTTTCCGATCCTCTTCACCATGTAGACACCGAAGGCGTACATCAGCTCATCATGAGTCTTTCCCAGAACCTCTCCTGCTGCCTTTGCCAGCCGCAGGATCAGGTTGTCACTGTAAAGCAGGAAAAATTATTCATTTAGCAGACGCCTTAAACAAAAGCGACGAACATCAGAGAGTAAGAACGACACAAGACAGGATCTAGAGAGGAGGAGACAAACAGTTTGCAGTCTGCAAGCGGGCACGTTGTAGCTGTTTGTCAGGAGGTTAAAGGCAGCTCCACCTTCAGAACATTTTCAACATGGCAACCGCCATCATTTGGCTTCAAAACAGCCCTTCAGAAACCAGTGGGTTACCTCATTGACACTACGTCCATGTTTATGCCGTCTGCGGTAAGCACTTTAAATTACGATCTAATTCTAAACAATAGAAGAAGAAGAATGAAATATCTTGTTACCTCAATCCAAGACTTTCATCAAATTTAAAAATGTAAAATAGAAGAGCTACAAAATGAAGGCATGAGTCTTCACATTAAATCACATAACAGTCTGTTCATTTGTGACCATCTGCAGCAATATTACACGCTAAGAGCAACAGCTTCATCCACCATTCAGAGGTGCTGATTGTCAACAGGCAAGGCAGGCTACTGCTTGGGGCCCCAGACCACTAGGGGGCCCTAGAGGGCTGACAAACGTTAAACCAAAGCAGCAGCACAGCAGCAATGAAGGTAAGAAAACCTCCCCCCAATTGATTCTTTATTAGGACCCCTAATAACCCCTAGAATCGCCACTGCCACCATTAAAAGGATTGGTTTACTCCACTGAGGTCGGCCTTCAGTATAAGAGAAGGTTCAAAATGATAAAAAAGACCAGGATTCACTTGAACCCACAACATGATGGGATAGACAGATTGTTGCCCGAACATTAAAGGAGACCTGAAGACCAATCTGGAGCAGATGTCAGGATTACGTCACAGCAGTAATATGAGCATTGTGGTGGCCATAAAACAGCAGAAAAAAGTGAAGAGAAACACTGAGAAGCCAGATCCCTGGTATGAATGAGGAAATGTCTTGTAGTGAGAAAATGTCTTGTAGTGTCGCTGGATGTCGGAATAGGAACGCGAGAAAACATGACCTAATTAAAAAAAATGTCATTGATGAAAATTAATCTGCAATTTGTTTCCTCTCCAGCTCTTACCCTTCATTTGGAAAGCAGCAGTTCCACATTTACTCCCCTTGTCTTTTTAACATTTATCAACACCCTTTATGGACGTGCACCGTCATAGTTCACCAAGTCAACACTCACTGGTCGTAGCTCATCTGAGAGCATTCAACTCTGATTGCTTTTTAGATTCTAAAGTGCTGCGTTTGAATCTGTGCATCGTCAGGCTGCTCAGGTAGTTTTTCTAAGAGTCTTAGGCAAAAAGGAGAGTTTGTAGACGTTTGATCTGAAGTCTCAGGAACGTGATTCACAGAAACAGCCACCTACTTGTACATCTGGTGTCTGACAAACTTGAGGTGAGGGATCTCTGCTCGGTTCTCGATCAGTCTCCACACATCCTCTCCGTACGACTCATTGATGTAATCGTTGACTGCTTCCAAGTACAGGCCGTACATCTTAAGGGGGTTAGAGACCTCCAGATTGAAGACCGCGTTAACTGATGAGCTGAGGAGAGACGAGAGGAAACACGTCACACAAACCCAAATACAAGTTAGTCTGCAGCCTAGAAAATGTACGCTCTTTAAATGAGAGGATGGACTGTGATTTAAACCAAGAGGTTTTGTTTGTGTTTAAGATTTAGTCGGCTCAGAAACTAAACGTAAAGGCTTCCTTTCTACTTTCCTATCAGCCTTGCATGCTCCAATGCAAAGCGGGAAATGTGCATCCACCTTTTTCCCCACACACAACCTCATGAAACCTAACCTCCTCAGACATCACATTCTCCACACTGGAAGCATTTAAGCTGTGACTCTGCACATCTTTTACAACTTTCTTTCTAAAAAATGTGACCTCTGTGCTTGAAAAAAAAAGAAAAAAGGCAACACAAACACTTCACAGAGGCATCAAAACCAGTGTCTGATGCTACTATTCTGTCAGCGTGCTCCAGGAAAGGACGTAAAAAAACCAAAGCTTTAAAAGTGTAAAAAGGATGAAAAGAGAAGCCCCCCTACCTGCAGCTCGTCAGTGCGGGGTTATCCTGTCCTCCAACTGAGCCGGCCAGCCTCACAGCCTCGCTCCCTGCTGAGAGTTTCCACCTGCAGCTGACATGTGGCTCTCCCCCGACACTTGTCTGTCAGGTCAACAGGGTGACGGAGCCAAAATAGCAGCAGGGAGGCATGTTTGTGGCAGGTAGCAAAGAAAAGACTGAAGACGGCGTTTATTCAGACTCCTATAGCGGGTTTAACGTGTGTTTGGATGGAGATGAAGTCAGTGGGTGGTGTTTTTATACTGTATATTTGAATTTCTGTTTTGGTGCTCACATTGTGATGCTCGTTATCCCCAAATTAGCCTCGAGACTTTTTTTTCTTCTCCCTGCAACAACTTATTAGCACGAGCAGGTTTCTCGGTTAATTACTTCACATTAGCATAATTATGGTCAGGTGCACATTCAACTGGCGGGCTCCGTGTTGAGATTGGCATTTGGAGTGGGTTTTGTATTGTTAGCAGCCTTGAGAAACAAAGTCTTCCTGTTGAGCCTTTTATCCTCTTTATGATCATAAAATGTGGCAGCAGCATCCTGTTTGGACTCGGAGTATGAAGTCTGTTTTCACCTGCAGGAACTTCTCTCTGCTTCCTCGTCGTGAACTCGTCGATTCAGATAAAGCAGAGATCACACTTGAGCCGGTTTGGCTGCCTCAGGGGGTCAAAAAGTGAAGCCACATTTACACACACACACAGCTCCTGCAAAATTCAAGCTGCACATGCACCACCTGTCCTCACTGCGTCCACTAGGGGACACTGTGAGAGCATCTTTGATTTATTACTGCTTTATTCAACACTACGTCCGAGGTGAAGAGGAGAAGAAATGTGCGTCTCTGGTCTTTTGATGAGTCCATAAAGGAAGGTCAGGTGATCTGTTATTATGTTATATCACATTTGTGACCTTTTGTATCCGTCCATCTGCAAAATATGCACACCTGATTAAAGACCCTAACCCCCCCCCTCCCCACCCCCCACCTCCATTACAGAGAGCAGGAAGATGACATGATGACTAAGCAAGTCTCTCTTCTTTTTTCTGCATATGTAAATGCACATGGTGTTGGATGCTCACTCTATCTGTTCACATTTTGGTGTGTTTGAGAGCCTTAGTTCTTGTTGCTACAAAGACATTATGTCGTGTTTTATCGGTCAGGACTACAGAGGTCTAGATCAGTCCTGATCCACTTGTGGCACTAAGGGGGGATTATACAATTTTAATACATCCGTTTAGATGTTATCAGTCACTGATTATAAACGTGAATAGTCAAACGTGTTTGATATTTACAATTTCCATTTATCAAAAACAGAGAAATCCATAAATGTTTATTGTTGCCGTGGAAACGCCAGATGTTACATCAAATACGGCTGCACGAGGAAGCGTGAGCTGCTACTGAAAGCTGTCGTTCTGTTGCTGTTTGTGCTGCAGTAATAAAAACCTCATGTAGATTATACTCGGATACATGAACTCATCTGTAAATGTATTCTCTTCCTCAGGTCGGTTTTACCTGGTCGTCACGACTACGATCGACATGGAGTTCGTTTTAAACCAGGGGGGGGTCGAGGTGGGGAGTAGCAGTAGCAGAGAGAATCACTCCCATGATTCCCCGCCAGCCTCGTCGTCATATTTTGTTACTGTTTTGATAGAGAGCCCCCTGGTGGCGGATTTTAGTGTGGCTTTAAGATTGAACTTTTAGTTTTAAACTTTTTCCCAGACTTTCCTAAACCCTCGCTCTGACTTGAGAGGGTGTTCACACCTACTCTTTCCAATTATTCCAAATCCAAAAGGAAGCAGGTTAATTTTGACTTACTAAGGTTGGAGGGGGGGGGGTCACACCTTTTATGTCCAGGTCTAATTAAGAAAACCCTTTCAGCTTCCTCACACTCTCCAGGAATCATTTCTGTGCCGACAGGTAGCCTGTGATCCAACCTCTCTGTGCGATAATGAGCCACTTTCTCGTGTGCCTTCTTTTTCCTCTCCATTTCCTCTCTCTCTCTCCAGCGTTCCTCCCATTTGCCAGGTGCTGCTGTCGCTCTTTAATGGCCTCTAGTGGGACTGTGCCACACGTCGGCCCCCCGGGAGGTCGGCCGCCGCCTCTTAGCCGGGGAACAGAGGGAGATAACAATGTGCTGATGGCGCCAACCACAACTCCACACAGATGCGGCAGGGTGCTTTCATTAAAGACGACATGACTCATCTTCTTTTCACTCCGCCAATATTGCACCCTGCTTTCTCTTTTCTTCCCACAAAGAGAGAGGTGCCGCCGCTTCAAAAGGCGTCCATTCATGTCATTTTTCAAATGCTAACAGGGAGCCAAGGAACACCTCCCTCCCATTGTTTGATGTGAACAACACAAACACTCACACAGACACAAATTAAACACACATTTTCCTATCCCTCCTCCTCCAACACACATAAAGGTGGTGTCTCCTTCTCTCCCGTCTGTGTCCGCTTGTTATCTGCTAAAGGAGTTATCAGGCTGAGCCAGCCTAGCAGGACGATGATCCAATCTCCGGGGAGTGTCAGGGTCAGCAGAGGAAAACCAGGCAGAGACAGACACATGCAGCTCCAGCAAAACGTGACAGGTTGATATGTTTGTATTTTTAGGTCCAATCAGTGAGATGATAAAGTGACCTTACTGTATGATCAGACATTAAGGAAACATGCTATGTTGAAGTGCTGGCTTCTCTGACAACAATGCAGCAGCCAGTATGTCCTCCTTCTAACTTTGGATTCTGGTCCTGAATGCTCTGGATTTGTTTGGACCAGAGAAGGTAGGCGGTTTTAAGGCAACCCCCACACGGCCGTTTTGGACGCCCCTCTGTTTGCCAGATATGAGAGCAGTTATCAGGTCAAACCAACAGGTGTTGCAGAGATGGAAGCGGGCAACCAGATCAGGAGAATATCCAGAGCAGTCCTCCTGAAGTTCTCTAGGAATTTCCAGGAATGCATATCTGAAAACAGCTTTTGTCGCTGCCCTTTGACCTCTCAGTGAGTCATCTTGTGTCTCATATGGATACACCAGAGTCAGAATCGTTTGTTGCTTCTCTTTTCTCTCATGTTTGTTTGATTAACTTCAGACAAATAAAAACCCTACATAGTTTAGGTTTGGGAAAACAACAGAAGCACCTTTCATTCACCAAAGAAAATACAAACTGGAAACCTTATCTCTTAATTACTAGATCAGGATCTTTTCACATAATCACAGAATCCTGATCTCTCAATTAACAGATCCTGATCTCATAATAAGATCTTGATCCAGAGTGGAAGCATTTCCGATCTGCATAGCCGTGGGAGGTAGGGGTGCTGAGGGGGCTTCAGCTGCACTCCCAAATACCAGAGACAATTAAAGTCAACAGCTTATAAAAACGTTAAGACTCATGTTTATCCATTTTGATGAAGTAGCCCTAGGTTGTGATAGTTTTCATGTTCCCTGTAAGTATTCCTAACAGCATGCAAGCGTTTTATATAGTGTCGCATTATCGCACGCTGGCTGCCCACACCGCATCAGTTAAATATTTCATTCTCTGCTCCGTGTTGACACGAGTCAAAGCTCAACTTTTTCATCTCGGATGTGGAGATTATTAATACATGGCTATCTGCACTTTTTAAGAACAAGCTTTTCAGCTTCCACTCAGGCGAGTCCGGCCTGTGGCTCCTTTCCCGCATGTCATTACCAAGCGGCAACCTGCTGTGTTGAAAAATGAAGCCGATGCTGAAGTGTAAAATCCTGCAGTTCCTCGAGTGTCCACTAGAGGCTGGCTGCAGAAACACAGGAAGTCACATACACACCCATTCTAAAAAGTCTGTTTTTTCAGCAGGGATTAACATGTTTACAGCCTGGTTCAAAAAACCAAACAGGTCTGATTAGCTCATGTCTCGATCGACACACACTGTACGGGGGGGTGAATGTTTTGATGACTCATCAGTTTTGATTTGATGAAGGATAAGAGTTATTCACAATAAGGCGTGTAGCTGACCTGATTGACAGGCGGGCACGGTGTAACGGTTTGTCAGGAGGCTTAAATCCCGCCTCAGCTCCAGCTCTCAGCCTGTCGTTAGGTTGACTGAAAGTTAGACTGAGACAGCATTTCCAGCATGGAGACCGCCATCGATGGGACTCCAGCGCCCCCTGCAGGAACAGACGGGTGACGTCACTCAGGCTTCAAACATTCATATTTACAATTTATGATCTTTACCCTCTCTCCCTTTGTTTCCTACTAACCACTGTCCTATCAAATAAAGGCAAAGAACCCCAAAATAAGAAGTAGAATAAGAAGAAATTTCTCTGTACAAAGTGAAAAGCAGTTTGGACTTACTAAACGCCTCTCTATAACGATAAGGCAGAATTATAGATAACAAAGTAATGAAATCATTTTGTATCATCAAAGCAGGATAAAGAGCAAACCCCTCCACCACTCGGGGCTGTGATACAAGTATCAGCACCAAAACACAAACAGTTTACGGGAGCGTTTCGGCTGAGTCAGACCGCTGCAAAGTTATAGGGTGACAAACTGGCACCATAAACCGCTTCTTATTGTTTACAAGCAGCAAGCCCCTCCAGATACAAACTGTAAATCCCCTCGCCGAGGCAGGACTGTGACTGCACTAAAGCTACAGGGATGAATGCTAACATGGGCAAAATGGAAATCTCAGCGTCTGTGGAGGAGCTGTAACTGCTGTGACCTCGTGGTTGAATACTTAATGGGAGTCTATCTGTATCCGCGCCGTGCTATCTCTGAATCCCCCTCTCTCTCTGCGCCCCCCCCTCCTCCACCCCCCCCTCTGATGCAAGAAGAATGTGCCATATTTCTCGAGCACAATCCCATGATACCTCCCTCTTATTGGTTTTACTGTAGACACAGAGGGAGCCGGGCTGTAATGCTACACAGGCTGAATGCTAATAATGTGGGGGCATCTTATTGTGGGTTTATGCAGAAACCGAGGGCCTCCCACTCGCTGTATTTATAGCTCCTCTGTGAGTTCTTCCTCCTCCCCTGCCTCCCTGCTTCCTCGCTCTCTGTTTCTTTTCACTTTCACCTGTCAGCATCCGTATCATTCCCTAGATATCCTTT